TTGACGAATCGCACATCGCGGCTCTGCGGGACAAGCTCGACCGCCTGCACGTGGAGCAAATGCGCTCGAACTTCGAGAGCGTGAACGCCGCCAAAGCACTCAAGGATCTCGGCACCACGGTGGACGAGCTCTGGGCGGCGCAAAAACACGAATCCGAGACCTTCGAGAAGTTCCGGCAGAGCCAGATCGCCGCGCAGTTCAATAGCGGCAAGAGATCTTCGTCTCCCTTGCCCGGTTCGTTTCAACGGACAAATCAGGCCCCGCAGTCTGATCGTTCACCACCCTGTTAAAAGAGGGTGTACTTTCTATCTTTACCCCTTAGGTCCTCAATGACTGTTGTCTCGTTGGGGGTGGGGTTGTTCTCTTTGTCCTATGTTGGCCATCTGATTTATTTACACCTTCATGGGAGTCGGGTAGCCGGCTACATTCTTGTAAACTGCATTTTGGGATTTTGATCATGGGAGGGGGAATTTAGCACAGCGATGTATATACTTTGATTGTTTTTTTGATTCTACATGGTTTTTATATTGGCTTGTAATCTACTTATGGTAGCGCGTCTATTGAGAATGGGCTATTTTGGGACTTATTGACAAATGATGGATTCATCTAAGAGTAGTGAATCTTTTCCGTGTATTTGTATTGCTGTAATCTTTTACTGCGAGACCTGTCTGCTTGCTTGATACGGACACTGCCGCTTGAATGAGGGCAGGTTATGAGTACTCTACTTGTTATATACTTGCACATATTAATCCAATCAGTTACTAAATTGTGGTCACATGACGCAGTCAAAGCTCACTTGCTAGAACCCCTGGATTATCCAATCAAAGACAGCTTCCCAGAGTTCATAAAGTATAATAACCTTTATTGAAGTAATCAGTAACTCAACCAGTAACTATGGATATACTTTAGTATAACTTCCTCGAACCTTTTAACTTGATAATGTGCGACTATAAAATCCCTCCTACTCTCTATTCTCTATGTTGCCTAAGAAATCTGGCCCAGCTTGATCTATGATCAGATCCGTCTGGTCCTGAAATACTGTATGCCTACCTGTCCTCAAGCACTCACCGAGACAAGAGTGGCTAGCAGTGCCTACGGTATTCTTCTGGAAAGAATCGATCTCGGTGAAGAGGAAATGCTGAGATGTGCGTGGTAAGTTACTCGCCTCGACTAACGTGCTTGTACAGTACTAGTATGAATGGGCTCAGACATGAGAACGTGAGGTTCGCGAAAAGAGCCGGAGTCGGTAATCTGCTTCTCTGTTATTTTTCCATGGGCCCGTTCAGCTTAGAAAGTTTCTGTGATGTGATTGTGAACAGCACCCTGCTGCGGTGATTGGAGAGCATGGCATCTGGATGGATTCTCCAGGGGAATCTCACCGCACTGCCTCTTCTGCCTCCAGAACCTATCATGCAGTGGTTTGGGCATTTGACTAGTACAAGCGAATGACCCACTTGCACCATCACCTGTGAGCTAGAGGCTAGAGCTGAGCTCGAGCTCTGCTATCTATTCTTCCTTGGCGTGATTTATGCACTCATACGTGTGGTGGGGTAACACTCCCCCCTCTCGACTCTTGTTTGACACAAAGACATCCAATGACTGTCGCCGAGGAGAAGACCGGGCAGGTGCTCCATCATCCTAGAAGATCAGAGCTGAAAAAGTGCCTTGAAGTATTTTCCACCGCGACAAGCTGGGAAAGGTGCCGTTGAACATGCCCCCCCACCCCCCACTGGACATTACGAGAATCATATAAACCGGCTGTGTTGATCCTGCGGTAATCCCAAGTCCCAAGTCCCAAGTCCCAGATCCTAAATCCCAGATCCGGGTTATCGGTTCATCCTTACATCTCGAACAAGCAAGCAACAACATCATCTGGCGCCAGTATGGTAGTTAGTGAAACGGAGGAAAACGAATTGCGGTTTCAGAATCTTCTGGGATCGGCTGTGGACGTTCTGGAGCGTGAGTAACGGAAGCAATCACTTACTTGACGACGTATAATTCCCCGATAATTTCCAATAATATCTTTGACATCGACGATGTCCTCCGACATCGAAAGGACTACGCCATTCTCGACCTGGCTGCCGCGACCAAAAAAGTCTCTGTCCCGGGTGTGAAGGAAAAAGGTCGAAGGGTTGGGGGTGCTAGTTGGTCGTGGTGACGTACCCCGGGGGAACGACTTGACCAAGGCGCTCAAATGTTTTTTTCGTGTACAATCCCAAGCCTGCGTGCATCTGGGACATATGTAATGACTTCGAGATGTATAGATCTCGGAAGGATAGTCGGACCGAACCCCATCCTCGGCCCAGCGAAATCCGGGGCAAGACCCGCTCCCGCTTGATTCGGGTCTTTCACATGTCATTGCATTCATCATTCATTCCTGCATTCTCCTTCCCTCTTGACAACAGCTTGTTCTTCTACTGCCCTCCCCGCTAGAAGAACTTCATCTCATTCTCTTACCATATTCTCTTTTCCCTCATTGTTCTCTCCATCCGGTGTCATGCTTCCCTTATCGTCGTCAACCCTGGCTAGCTACGGTAGATAACTGATTTATCTACCTACTTCCCAGCCGCCGCCATGGCCGTCCAGTCCAAGCTCTTCTCCCTGCCGCCCGAGCGCTGGTCCCTCCCCCTACGCCCACTCCTCTCCAAATTCACCTCCCTCTACCTCCGCCACCGCAAACAGATCTCCCGAACCGTCTACCTAGCTCTCTTCGCTGCCCTCGCCAAACGCATCCACAATGCCATCTCCGAGCAGAAAGCCGCCTCGCAGCAACAGGCGGAGATGCGGAGCAAGCGACCCGGGACCAGCAGTCTCGGTGACGGCGCCAACGCCAACGGCAGCGGCGATATTCCCCGCAAGAAAGTCGAGGTAAATCGCGAGTTCTTTCGGAATCTGCTGCGACTGCTCAGGATCGTGATCCCGGGGTGGAGGAGTAAAGAGCTGCGGCTGCTGTTCGGCCACAGTGTGTTTCTGGTGCTGAGAACATTGCTGAGTCTGTATGTCGCCGAGCTGGACGGGCGGTTGGTGAGCAACCTCGTGAGGGGCAAAGGGAAGGACTTCTTGCTGGGGTTGGTGTGGTGGATGATGGTCGCGGTGCCGGCCACTTTCACGAACTCGATGGTGAGTGCAGTCATGGTTGATGCACAAACAAAAAGAAAATGGCCACTCACTGACCTTATCGCCAGTTATCATACCACCAATGCAAACTAGCCCTGAATTATCGCAAGCGTCTCACGGACTACATCCACGAGAAGTACCTCTCGAATATGACCTTCTACGCCATCTCCGCCCTAGACGATCGGGTCAAGAACCCGGACCAGCTCATCACGGTCGACGTCTCCCGTTTTTCCGATAGTCTGGCGGAGCTGTACTCCAACCTGGCCAAGCCCGTTCTCGACATGGCCATCTACAACTACTCGCTGTCCAAGAGCGTCGGCGGCGAGGGACTCTTCCTCATGGGCCTGTTGGTGCAGGTCTCGGCCAACGTCATGCGGGCCCTGACGCCGCCCTTCGGGAAATATGTGGCGGACGAAGCTCGTCTGGAAGGAGAATTCCGGTTCCTGCACTCACGCCTGATCGACTACAGCGAGGAGATCGCGCTCTACCACGGCCACGAAGCCGAGAAGGACACTCTCGACAAGGGCTATTTCACCCTCATCAAGCACGTGAATCGCATCCTGCGGAGACGGCTCTACCACGGCTTCATGGAAGATTTCGTGATCAAGTATTTCTGGGGCGCTCTGGGCCTGATCCTTTGCGGCATTCCCGTTTTCTTCAAGATCCCCGGCCAAGTCACCCAGACGATGGGAGATCGAACCGAAAGTAGGCCCTCCCCCCTCATACCGGCATCGCTTGAAACCATCTAACAATCCAAACCAAACAGGCTTCGTCACCAACCGCCGCATGCTCCTCTCCTCCTCCGACGCCTTCGGCCGCCTCATGTTCTCCTACAAGGAAATCTCCGAGCTCGCCGGCCACACCGCCCGGGTCTCGACCCTGCTCGAGGTGATGGACGACCTGCAATCGGGCCACTTCGAGAAGAAACTGGTATCGTCCGCGACGGACTCAACCTCAGCGCACGCCGCGACCCTAGCCTCCCGCGGGACCGTCACCGAAACCGCAGACGCGATCGAATTCCGGGACGTGCCCATCGTCTCGCCGAACGGGGACATCCTGGTGCGGGCGCTCTCCTTCGCCGTGCGACCGGGGGACCACCTGCTGATCGTCGGGCCCAACGGGTGCGGGAAGTCGTCGCTGTTCCGCATCCTGGGCGGCCTGTGGCCCGTGTACGGCGGCACGGTCCGGAAACCGCCGCCGGACCAGATCTTCTACATCCCGCAGCGGCCGTACCTGTCGCGGGGCACGCTGCGCCAGCAGGTGATCTACCCGGACGGCCTGCGCGACATGCGCGCCAAGGGCGTCACGGACGAGGACCTGCACGCCATCCTGGCCGTCGTCGAGATCGCGGGCGTCGTCGAACGGCCCGGCGGCTGGGACGCCGAGGAGGAGTGGCGCGACGTCCTCTCCGGGGGGCTCCAGCAGCGCATCGCCATGGCCCGCCTCTTCTACCACCGGCCCCAGTACGCCATCCTCGACGAGTGCACCTCCTCCGTCACCCTCGAGGTCGAGCGCATCATGTACGAGACCGCCAAGCGCCTCGGCATCACCCTCATGACCGTCTCCCACCGCCGCAGCCTCTGGAAGTACCACCGCCGCATCCTGCAGTTCGACGGCCAGGGCGGCTACATCTTCACCAAGCTGGATTGGGAGCGGCGGTTGAAGTTGGAGGAGTACGTTGTCCCTTTCCTCATGTCCCTCTTTCCTCTCTCTTTCTCCTTAAGGTCGAAGCTAATCATCATGTGTCGAACAGCGAGAAAGAAGACCTAGATCTTCATCTCCGAGCAGTGCCGGAACTGCAGAAACGCATGGCCGAGCTAACCGCCTAAGGGACTGGGGGACGTTTATATATACGAAGTGTCGCTATAGAGTTTCCTCTGGTCAATTTTCTTTGCCCTTGCCTCACCTTCCCTCTGTAGCGTTCTTACATCGATCTCCCTCACGTATCTAAATCTTGTGGATAGCATCGATCGATCCTGTAGGAAATATACCCAAGATACGTATCTTGTACAAAGGAATGGAATCGATGGAAGTAAAGCTCATGAATAGAAAGCAAGCGCAGCGGTATTGACAACTATGCAAGGAGCAAAAACATAAGCACATACAGAAGCTCTTTTTCCTCACTCCCTTATCCCCACCACCACCACCTCCTCCTCCTCCTCCTTCCCCGCCCTATTTCACTCGCGCAAACCCGATCACGGCCGTGAACTTTGTCACGAACTAGTCCTTGATAACAAGCGGCTCAATGTTCCAGATGCTCTCGGCATACTCGCTGATGACACGGTCGGTCGAGAAGAAGCCCATGCGCGCCACGCTGATGATGGACTTGGACAGCCATTCCTCGCGGTTGCGGAAGGACTCGTCCACCAGGTCCTGCGTGGTGATGTACGAGTTGAAGTCATCCGAAACCAGGTAGTAGTCGCCGTGCTCGACGATCGAGGCCAACAGCGCCGAGAAGCTGTTCACGTCTCCGAACATCCCACCGCGGATCGCCTCGAAGACCTTGGCCAGGTGGGGGTCCAGCTGGAAGTTGCCGTAGAGGTGCCGGTGCCGGAGCTCCTCGACATCCTCGGCGAGGTTGCCGAACAGGAAGATGTTCTGCTCGCCGATTTCCCGCGTGATCTCGATCTGCAGCCAACGTTAGCATTGTCATCATTGTCATGTCCACCATTAAAGAAAACAAGGATGGTTTCCGTACATTCGCTCCGTCGCAGGTACCAATGATCAAGCCGCCGTTCATGACGAACTTCATGTTACTGGTTCCACTTCCTTCCGTACCCGCGGTCGAGATGTGCTCGCTGATGTCCGAAGCAGGACAGATGATCTCGGCCTTGCTGACATTGTAATCGGCCACGAAAATGACTTTCAGAAGATCGCCAACGTCGGGATCTTCGTTGACAACCGCGGCGACCTTGTTAATCAGGTGGATGACGGTCTTCGCCATCCAGTAGCCCGGAGCAGCCTTGCCACCAAAGATCGATACGCGTGGCAACACCTTCTTCTTTTCCTCGGCGGACATGGACTTGATCTTCAGGTATCGGTGAATGACTCCGAAGATATTGAGCTGCTGGCGTTTGTACTCGTGGATACGCTTGACCTGAATGTCGAACAACGCGGTCGGGTTCACGCTGTACCCGGTTGTCTCCTTGATGTGTTTTGCCAGACGGAGCTTGTTGGCAGTCTTGATCTCTTCCCACTCTTTCTGGAAAGCCTTGTCATCGGCAAATGCCTCCAATTGGTCCAAAAGGGTCAAGTCGGTCAAGAAATCGTAGCCTCCCAGTCTAGAAGCTATCAAATCAGAGAGGCGAGGATTTGCCTGGTGCAGCCAACGACGCGGGGTGACGCCATTAGTAACATTAGTGAACTTGTCAGGGCCATAGATGGTCACAAAATCCTTGAATAGAGTGGTTCGCAGAAGGTCTGAATGCAGCTCTGCGACTCCGTTCACTTTGTGGGATCCGATGATAGCGATATATGCCATCCTCACCATCTTAGGGTGGGACTCTTCGATAATCGAGACCCGAGACAACATGTCTCTATCCTCGGGGAAATTCTTCTCCACGTACTGCAAGAAATACAGGTTGATGTCGAAGATGATCTGCAAGTGTCGTGGCAAAAGGCTTTGCATCAAGGGGACAGACCACTTCTCTAGAGCCTCCGGCAGGACGGTGTGGTTTGTGTAGCCGAACGTCTTTGTGACGATTCCCCATGCCTCGTCCCATTCCAAGCCCTCCTGATCAATCAGGATGCGCTGCAGCTCGACAACGGCCAGCGTCGGATGTGTGTCGTTGAGCTGGATGGCAACTTGGTCGGGGAACTCGCTCCAGGATCTCTTTGTCTTCTTGAATCGTCGAATAATGTCAAATAAGGAGGCAGCACACCAGAAGTACTGCTGCTTCAGTCTGAGCTCCTTACCGCGGTCCAGGCTGTCGTTAGGGTATAGCACTGCTGAGATGGTTTCTGCACGTTGCTGCTCCGCAACTGCACTCTCATAGTCGCCTGCATTGAATTTCTGGAAATTGAACTCTCCGCTAGAAGCCTTGGCCGACCATAGTCGTAGATTGTTTGTCGTGCGAGTGCCATATCCAGGGACGGGGACATCGTATGCCACGGCCTGGACGACTTCACCGTCCTGCCACGAGCTCACGGTCTTCCCGTTCTCATCCTGGTACTTCCGCACCCAGCCGTAGAATTGGACGTCGACAGTGATCTCATGCCGAGGGAACTCCCACGGGTTGAAATCGAGCCAGTAATCAGGAACCTCCATCTGATAGCCATCGACAATCTCCTGTTTGAAGATACCATATCGGTAGCGAAGGCCGTAGCCCCATGCAGGATAGTTGAGTGTGGCCATACTGTCCAGGAAACAAGCAGCCAAGCGTCCAAGTCCTCCATTACCCAGGGCAGCATCATGCTCCTGGCTGATGACATCTTCGATACGGAACCCAAGGTCCTTCAAGCCCTCTGCGTCACATCGCGTATGACATTAGCAAGGACTCGTGCAGTCGCGACCGGGGATTGAATGCCTACCTCGGGCAGCATCCTTCAGGCCGACGTTTAGCATGGCATTATCCAAGGCTCTTCCCATCAAGAATTCGAGAGATAGATCTGTGGTTGAGATATGAGTAAGCGGTCTGCCTACCGAGGGGAATCACTTGGCTCACGTACAGTACACCCGCTTCTGATCTGCAGAAGCCTGTCGCTGCTGGGTCTTGTTCCACTCGATAATCAAGCGGTCCCTGAACGCTAGGGCAGTTCCGGAGTATGCGGCCCTGGACGACTATGAGATTTTCTCTTGATGCGCGAGGAATTGGGACGGAGGAACTAACAATTCATCGCAGTTGTAGAGCGAGCGAGCCAATGTAGTTTCAATGTGGCGAACCAGCTCACTCTGACATGGCTATTAGCACGTGAAGACCTCACCAATCATTTGTCTATAGCTTACTTCAAAGTCTTCCTTGTTGGTAAAGCCATTGGCAGACTAGTCAGCGGGTAATATTAGCCATGGATCTCTGACAAGTGTAGTACATATGCAGTGAGCTTACGTGTTTCTTCCACCTAAGAGATCGTACGGGTCAGTTCAGTGTCTTCCAAAGGCCGGTTGCAAATGCGCCTGAGCCCTCTGGGAAGCGGCCGCCAGGATCTTTGGTGTAACCGAAGAAGAGGGGCGAAACCGGGTACTCACGCCTCTCTCAGGTGCTCAGGGATGCTAGCCTCGACACTCTTGATTTCGGCTGGACCAAAGCCGGTGAAAGTACGTCTGTGCTTGGGGCGGCTGAAGCTGGGGCCAACAGGGCCCTGAAGCTCGGAGACGGGAGCTCCAACAGAGGGTCTCCTTTCGCGGCGACTTTCAGCCATTATGAGGGTCGAAGCGTGAAAGGTTCGGTATTTGAGATGTCGCCGAGAGAAATTGGGACTGGGAAGCCGATGACAGTTGAGAGCCGTGCACCTAATGAATCAGACTCTATGGAATCCAAGATGATCAATCCAAAGAAAGCGAAAGGAAGAGAGCCCTTCACTGGGGATTGGAGGAAGGAAGCGGAGTACGAGGGAGGGGAGGGAGGGGACGAACGAAAGGAAGGACCAGGCAGAGAGCGGGTAGACAACCCCCGACTTAAGAAGGATGCGAGATGCGAGAGCTCGAGGAAGCGGGATCCTACGCACCGCACCGCGTGACAGGGAGCTCTCAATTGAATTGAGGTTCCAGGATCAAAGCAAGGCAGGGGGAAAAGGTGACGAGGGGATCGGAGGGGTTGATCGAGTCGCTGACAGGACTATACTGAGGGGAACCAAGGATCCGATCATACGTTGGCACGTTGACTGGGCCGTTCCCCATGCACGTTGACCGTATGTCTAGACCCTGGTAGAACCGGGGCTTGCATAGTGCCAGATGGCGTGGGAACTAATCGCACAACGGAGGGCTCGGGATCGCGAGGAAGGACTCTTAGTCTCGTATATTTGGTAGGTAGAGATTCTGGGATACTAGCAAGAGAGGGTAGGATCAGCTTATTAGTCAATGACACCATCATCGACTGATGTTGGTGATGATGATGACGATGAAGCGGTCGAGTTGGGGGTGAGACATTGAATATGGGACGAGAAAGTTGCAGGGCTGACCGATAAGATAGAAGAGATAGCGGTTCAGATTGATGGCTGTGATGCCGTCACGGGTCAGTCGGTGTCTGTGCTTTGCGGTGCTGAGCAGCTTGCAGCTGCAGCCGCCAATTCCCCGGACAGCCGCTATGACGCACCTCCACTGCATCCAGCGGGGATCAGACAATCATGAATGAGTAGATAATTCATTTCAGTTGTTCCTGTTCATCCGACAACACAAGTGGAAACAATAGAGATCATGCAAGAGCATGGTTTGAAGAGATTGAGGTATGAGATAAATGCGTTCATTGGGAGTACCTTAAGGAACTGAGTAGTTGGTGATGAGCAGTGATGATCAGTGGTGGTCTCAGCTTAGCTTTCGGTCCAAGTGCAAACATCTTTCCCCTCCCCTCCTTTCTCCCTCCCTTCCACTCCACCCCCAGCTCAACCCCGCACCTCCAACTCTACCTACTCACAGAGGAAAAACTGTCTCCGTCAAATAATTGAGATCAGACCTCCTGCAAGGTCCTCCCTTCCTCATGACCTTCCCCCGCTTTACTACCCCTACGTTTGCGAAACCCGCTGAGCAGCTGCACTTCTAACAGAAGACAAAGAAAATCCACGTGATTTAGATTACATGTATATAATCGCTACCAATGATTGTGTGAGAGGAATCAAGATTCGCGGCCACGGGCGAACCGCGCAACAAGAAGGAAATGGACACTTGTAACAAACAAGGATGGCAAGACAGGAGAATTAGAATGACAGATTATGATAGATATGAGGATGAGAGATCGCCGTCCAAATGCATGACATCAGTAGGGAATAGGGAATAGGAAATCGGGCTGAGAAAGGAAGTTCAAAAGAAGGGGGGAGGGAGAAGGAGGAAGGACAAGAAAGAAGAGAAACAGCTTCAAGCGCATGAGAACTGAATACCAAGCGCCCCCTCATACAAGCTATATGCAAAGTAAAGTCGAAGCCATTAACTTTTCGGCTTGGGATGAAAAATTGCATCAACTCCCAAGCTCGCTGAAAGGTTAAAGGGCATCCAATCATGGCCAACCCAGACCAAGTCTCCCAATTTGAGCAAGCCATCCCGACCCTAAACAAAAGAAACAGAATAACACCTTGCCAGGCAAACCAACAGACCCAAACCATTCCAACGCCAGGCACTTCAAACTGTGACACTAGTCAGGCACCGCAACGCCGACGCCAACCCACAGAAAGCAACGTATGTGGGTAACAATGAGAATCATGAGACAGGAAATAGAACAAATGGCTCAAGGAAAGGGAGAAAAAGGAAAGCAAGAGAGGGACGGCCAGAGGAAAGGCCCTGGACAACTCAACACAGAGGCCATGGCAGTAAATGAGTTCCCTCGGGTGGGACATAGGAAAAGGTTGGAGGGTCACAGTGGGAAGATCTAATCAACCAGTTGACAAACTCCAGATTTCTCACTGGCAGCATAGCCAGTAGTACTTCTACTAGCCGAGTAGCTCCCCACTCTAAAGGATGCCGGAATCTTTGAGGGCGTTTTGTAATATCGTCTCTTTCACGGCAGCAAAGACTAATCGGATGTTGGTGGTATCGGTAGCTTGAGTAAGACTGTGCGAGAGTAGTCAGAGATCATGAAGTTGCAGTCCGGGCGACAAGGCGGACTTACTGAGGGTAGAGATTCAAATGCGCCCGATTGACTTGATTGAATCTCCACAGGAGATACTTGGCGGCTCGATTTACGTCATTGCCGCCCGAGTAATCGGGGAAGTAATTGTTCAACGGCGACCGAGGGAGCTTTTGTCGGAAAAGGTCGACCTTATTTAAGAAAAGGATGATACTCGTCCGCATGAACCACCGAGAGTTGACAACAGAGTCAAAAAGCACCAAGCTTTCCATCATCCGATTCTTCCAGCCAGTCAGATGCGGTATCAGCTTGCGGAGAACAGTAAGAAACATACCTGATTGCTTTCCTCTAGAAGAACTTGGTCATATTCGCTGAGCGCCACACAGAAAATGATGGACGTGACATTTTCGAAACAGTGAATCCACTTCTTGCGCTCACTGCGCTGGCCGCCCACGTCGAACATGCTAGATACCAGGTAAGCATCTTAAAGACGCAAGGGCCGAATTAGCCATTGATAACAGAGTGACATACTGTATGCTTAGTTGGCCCATCGTAAAGCGAGTCTCGTAGATACCGGTAGTTTTTGTTCGCGCGCGAAGCACATCATTCACACTGGGGATGTAATCTGGAGCTGATATTCGTTTGGCTTCCTCGAAAAAACTAGTTCCTCATCGTCAGTGTGCGGGCCGCGCGGTGGGATAGAGGGCGGGTAGTCTTACTAGGGCGCGGAATCCATCAGGTAGAATTCGTTCTGGTGTTCTAAGACTGTCGACGTACAGGGGTCATTCCAAAGGTAAGTGATCGCATCCCCAACCTTACTGTCGAGCGGCACAGTGGGATCGGGGTTGATATTGTATTCGAAGATGTACTGGATGTAATCGCGAACTTTCTGACTCGAAGGTTCGAGAGAGAACTGATGATAAGCGGCAATGAGCGATTTGGCGCAATCAAGGAGGTTCTTGTATACGGTCAGACGATATAATGACAGCTCTTCGACCGTGTAGCCATTCTGATGGATGATCTTCATTTGCTTCACGATTGTCGACTTCCCGCTTTCTCCGGAGCCTAGACAAGACACATCCTGTTAGCTCAAGCCTGCAGATTTTCAATTTCCGGACAAGGGGCACGAAACCGACCGAGTAGTAGGATCTTGCATTCTCGCCGTAGTCGTCTCGAGTCTTCCTCCAATTTGCGATCGATAGCCTGGCTCCTCCGCTTCTGTTCGACATCTCCGGTCGCCTCAGAGCTCATACACGAACCCATTTTCTCGTATAACTCCCAGACAGCGGAGAACTAGCCCATTAGCTGCCTGCGGAAGCGTGCGGCATCCACCTATCAGACCGCTGACACCTGGAACCCCCGGGCAGTATGTTTCTCGAACAGTAAGTCGATCAAGGTCTGAGACCGGTCGAATCGAGGGAAGACTGGGGAAATTGGCGCGATCGAAAGACAATGGAGAGGTCTCGGAGCGACAGAAGAAAGGGTGGTAGGTTTGCGATCGGCGAAGAAAGCTCGACTAGGGATCGAGGCTTGCGCGCGGAATGGTCTTAGGCAAAGCCACACTGAGCAGGTTCGGATTTGGAACAACGAGGGCCTGAGCGACACCTGCAAGCTTCGGTAACCGCAAGTGGTGTGGCCCGTGAGATGGTAGGTTGAGAGGAGAGGAGAGGAGAAAGGCGAGGGCGAAGGAAACTAGGGAGGTGAGTCGGTTGAAGAGGAGGCGGCGGATTCTTGGATGGAGAGCAGAATCGGCTGGTTGCGTGATAGATACGTTGGAGCTTTCGCGGTGTCCGAGCTGGAAGGAAAAGCCGGGGTGAGGGGCGTGTCAGAGTTCCCAGTGCGGAGCAGCAAAACGAACGAGAATGACGACCTGACGCTAAAAAAGGGTAGTCAAGGTCGATCGGGAGTTGATGTGGGAAAACGGATGGAGGCGCGCGGATCTCGAGTGAGATAATGTAAGCAAGCAACGAGGATCTTCTGGGTTGGTCGGCAAATGGTCGATCGGGGGGGTGGTGTTGGGAGGGGAAAGGGAGGGAGGGGATTGAAATGGTGGTAAGGTAAGTAGGTAAGATGTGTAGATTGATTGACTGATCTATTAATGGTTCATGATTAATGGTTCATGGGTTTGGGGAAGAAGAAGGGGGGTTGTGTGGAAAGAGAGGAAATGACAGCTCGTGGGTGTTTCAGAGGCAAGGCGGGTACGTTTGTTAAGTTAGTTAGTAGTCGATTAGTTTAGTGAGTGAGTTGAGTTGAGTTGAGTGTAGGGAATGACTGCAGTGAGACGGATGGATGATGTTGGATGGGAATTGGAGGAGTGGATATCCCCAGTCGTCATAGCACTCTCTCTCTTTGACCTTACCCAGTGTTCAAAAGTCGGTTAGTTAACTAGTTGACTTAAGGTCGACAGACAGGTGGAAGTGGAGATTTGAGGAGACCGAGAGACCGAGGGAAGGGAAAGATTACATACTCCGGTGTACACTCGTTCGATCGTAGGGGCGACGAGTGGGTATTCGTTGGTAAGAAAAAACGTGGATCGCCCACTCTGCCAGTGTAGACTACGTCCTAACCAACTGGACGGAGTGCTGGGCTTACCCTACTAGTACCTAGTTCGATCGGGGACCAGATGACCAGATGCGCCGACAACAAAGGGTCTTGACTGCCAAGCTGGATTCATTGATTTGTCCTCTCTCCATTTTCACACTACTACTAACCACTAAGTACTAAGTACTACATTATCTACAGTACTCCGTGCTTAGCTCCAGGCCAACACCTCACTGAACTGGCCGAGTGAGAGTGGCGCCGAGACAGCTAGCCAAGCCCTTCTTGGGGACTGGGACGGAAAATACTCCCCCGAAAGGTTCCACTAGTGCCTTTTATACTAAAGTTACTGCTTGCTGCCTTTCAGTGTATGTAGGTACAGTACAGTACCATGTTCAAGAAATTACTAAGTTGTTCTCATGGACAACTTGCCTGAAACCCGTGGTAGAAGGCTTTGACGGCGGTACTATGGGCAAAGTCGCGTACGGAATGTCCCTCCTTCTAGACGGAGTATTCATTCCGGACTAGACATACGCGGAATACAGAGCCACACGGGAGAAGGTCCCATGGACTAAATGTTCTTTGCACCTCTCCCTGTCATGGTGTTGTAGCTGTCGGAAACATAATTGTCAGAGGCTGATTCGAGGTCACACTAACTTAGCAGTAGCTGAGGTAGGGATACCAGCTTTGCCCAACAATGACTCCGAAGGCTGCACCGTCCAATCCTCACTAACCTGAATAAGAATCTACGGGTTATTGATTCTGACTATGCACATTTGAATATGGGGAAGCCTGGGATTTTGGATGGAATGGTATAAGGCTTGAACCAGGTGTCTTGCCCAAGTGTATATATAAATCAAGCCCTAGGTGCGATCGGGTCGGAATTCCAGAGTTAGACAACAGAGAGTCTATTGACATGGGTTCTTGGCTTGTCATTGTTCTCCCCCCGCCTCAAAATATTGCTGATGGTCCGTGAGAAACAAAGGCACATGGCTGTGGGTGGGCTAGGGACCCTGCGGCGCTCGCGAGTTCAAGACAAGTAAGTATTTCTACCTTGCCCTTTTCAAATACGAAGAAGACTAGATACCATTTGCTAGGTTGAGGTTGCTCTGAACTTACTGGTATATATTAATCTCCAGCTTCCTCGATAGGAGTGTTCGAACTATAACACTTCACCTTAACACACAATCTATTAGATTGGAACCTCAAACGCTGATCGCCATATCACCTCAATCGCACCATAGGTTGATCAATCCCGATCATTCTCCATCTAGAGTACTCATGTTTTCGACAGTGCCTAGATAGGCATGTCGTACCTAGGCGGATCAGGCACGCTCTACTATGTAACCTGAACCCGAATCGTGGCACGAATAAATAACTAACGGGGAGTCTGGATATAAGTCTGGACGTAAGGTGACCAACTCCAGGAAAACGTAAAATCAACCGAGTCTCGGGTAAAGCAGGAGGAGTGTTCCAAACGAAAGTCGCCCTCTTGACGGACAGTAGTACATAAGCGCTTTGACCCAACGAGGGGTGGCCAGCCTTTGCCGACAACAGCAACATGTCGTCTCGACCTGGTGGAGTCGAGAATTGAGAGAGTCTAGATAGTCGATCCATTTAGATAATTCCTGAATCTGGGGGAAGCGAGGTCCAGTCCAAGAAGGCTACCGGACTGGGGTATAGCTACGCTACTCATAGAAAGGGGATCTGAGATCGATTGCCATAGGGGAGACAGAACAAAAGACAGAGTTGAGAAGGCGGTAAAAGGGACAGTATAGATCTAGAGGGGACTGCGGGAAAAAAGATGGAGCGGGATGGGTTTTGACGCGCGAAGGTAATGGAAGTGATTGGAACCGTCACCTTGCAGACCCACCAAGGTATGATGACATCGTCCAGCAAAGGTCGAACATTACGTAGTGAAAAGCCAGCCAGCCAGCCTAGTCCAGCCGGAAGTCCATGCTTCGACCTGGGCTGGCCATCTGGATTTCTTCTATAATCGGCCGATATATCGATGTGGTTCTGGCTCTGGTTCTGGTTCCCAGACTGGTGCCGCCACAAATTCGAATTGCAAATATAGATGTGCTATTCAGGATCTTGAGATAACCGTCATTGTGGTTGTGGTTGTGGTCGTGGTTGAAGTCATGGTCACTGTCGTAGATGCGGCTGTGGAGGTGGTATAGAAATCAATGTTGCAATCTGAATGTATCATCGGAAGGACTCATACTAACGATCTGAAGTCATCGACTGGGTTCTTCAGGTACCACGCATGAAAGCCAGAGTTCCTCTGAGGGAAAAAGTATCCCTACCTCTCCGTAGTCCTACTTAACAGCCAGTGAGTTATGCTAGACGGTTAGTAAGCGTGGTGGGAGAGCAGCATCATTTGGAGGGGGTGTCCACTTCCGGCCAATAGATTTCGACGAAAAAAGGGTTCTAGACAAGAAAAATCTGGGATCAAGCCAGCCAGGTGGTGGGAGCAAAGGAGAGAACAAACTAGGGGAAAGGAAATCACACCAACCCAAATTTCTGGCTTAAGGCTGCGGTGTGTGTGCGTGTGTTGATTTGGCGGCAGCAGTTTTTCTGCCATACCCTGCTTCGTTCGCGGACGTCATCGGTCTTGTTTTGGGCGTTCCGGAAACTCGAACTCAACGGACTAGGAGAAGAAGAATGGTCTTTTCCCCACACACCCTGCTGGGGCGCCACCTACGGCTTTTGCTGCCTCGCTACTCACTCACTCACCATCTTATTCTTGTTCTTGCTTTCTCTTTACCCCCCCCTCTCTCCAACTTTGGTGCGCTCAACATCTTAACTTAGATATTCCTCTCTGCGCCCGCAGGTCCTGATCTTCTTCTTCCTCCAGACATCATTTCCTCCTTCCCACTCTAACTCCTCCATTTCTCTCCCTCCCCCTCACTCTCCCCCCCTTCACATCCTCGCTACGTTATCCACCGCCCCCCCCCGAGAATCTCCGTTCAAATCACAAAGCCTCGTATTTTCCTCACTGCATTGAACTGAACCTGGTGTGCCATCCATCCTTGTTTCAAAATGGCGGAATTCGTGCGTGCCCAGATCTTTGGCACCACTTTTGAGATCACCAGCCGGTAGGATGGACTGACCCAAAATTACCCCTCCAAGCGTGTCGGGATGACTTCTAACTTCGGATTTCACAGGTACACCGACCTGCAGCCGGTGGGCATGGGTGCTTTTGGTCTTGTCTGGTATGGCTATTAACAGCATCCCCTTCTCTTGCCTTTTGGTCGCGACGTCTGTTGTCTGCAGGTCAACCAACCGAGAATTTTACTGACATGCGCCCCTTTCGGATTCAACCAGCTCGGCGCGGGATCAATTGACCGGGCAACCAGTCGCCGTCAAAAAAATCATGAAGCCATTCAGCACACCCGTCCTGTCCAAGAGAACATACCGCGAACTAAAACTGTTGAAACACCTGCGACACGAAAATGTTGGTCTATGCCGCTTTCCGGCGACTCGTCGCCCGGCCGTGCTCTGAAGGCTGACCATTTGCAGATCATCAGTCTGAGCGACATTTTTATCTCCCCGCTCGAGGATATGTACGCATTCGTCATCGTTCCCCGCGACCAGTTTAACTCTAACATGGCAACCGCAGCTATTTCGTCACAGAGCTGCTTGGCACCGATCTTCACAGATTGTTAACTTCGCGGCCTCTTGAAAAACAGTTTATTCAATATTTCCTTTACCAGATTCTGGTATGTAGTCGGAGCCGATCATGTCATCTCGTCTCCGAGACGCTCTTTCGTGACGGTCACTAACGGTCCATAGCGGGGGTTGAAATATGTCCACTCGGCCGGTGTCGTCCATCGTGATCTCAAACCCAGTAACATCCTCATCAACGAGAACTGCGACCTCAAAATCTGCGATTTCGGTCTTGCCCGTATCCAGGATCCGCAGATGACGGGCTATGTTTCGACCCGGTATTACCGTGCGCCCGAGATCATGCTCACTTGGCAGAAGTACGACGTGGAGGTGGATATTTGGAGCGCAGCATGTATTTTTGCGGAGATGTTGGAGGGAAAGCCCCTGTTTCCCGGAAAGGATCACGTCAATCAATTCTCGATCATTACAGAGCTGCTGGGGACTCCGCCCGACGACGTGATTCAGACCATTTGCAGCGAGAATGTGGGTGACAGTCGGCTCGAATCTTCAAGCACCGAACACTAACTCTTATTGTGATAATTAGACGTTGCGATTCGTCAAGTCGCTACCCAAGCGTGAGCGACAACCTCTGGCCACCAAGTTCAAGAATGCCGATCCAGATGGTACGAACACGATGTCCTCCTTTGCGGTTGGAGGCGAGAGCCTTGCTGACATTGATTAGCGGTCGATCTGCTGGAAAAAATGCTTGTATTTGACCCGAAGAAGCGCATCCGGGCTGGCGAAGCCCTGGCCCACGAGTACCTTGCCCCGTATCACGACCCGACCGACGAGCCTGAGGCCGAGGAGAAGTTCGATTGGTCATTCAACGATGCCGACCTGCCGGTGGATACATGGAAGATCATGATGTGGGTTTCATAACGGCACGATGCAGAAAAATCCACCATGCTGACAACAAGACAGGTACTCCGAAATCCTGGACTTTCACAACATCGACCAGGGCAACGATGCCGGTCAAGTGCTTGTCGAGGGGGCTGCGGCCGGACAGCAGAGCTTTGCATGAGGAGTGATTCCTGCCTAAAATTTACCCTTGACGAGGTGCACGGAATATGATAATGATGTCCTTTCCTTTTATGTTCTCATGGTATGTAGACTGGATGCGGGGATTGTGATATGCACGCACGTTCACGTACTTATGTTCTGGCCACTACATCGCTTGTTTTTTATGCCCCTTTTTTATGTTTCTCAATGATCTCCAGGCTGTTACGAAGTCCGGATAATGTTGGAGATTAGAAACGTGTGTAACATGACCCAACTGTTTGGATTTTTCCATTCTGCTATACATACACTACACATATTCCGGTCATGATTGACGGAACATTGTTTTGCCTTTCCTTCTCACCAAATGGTGAATGTTGTTTCCCCCCCCTTTTTTGAGGTGTGCTTGATAGATTTTGCTCAACATTGAAGCAAGTTACCTAATAATCAATGCAATTACTCTATAAAAGGAATTGAGACCATTTCAATGATATCATCAAACACGAACATCCAGAAAAAAGATGGGATATCTGATTGGGTTGTTGTCTGTCTCGTATCTAGATTACTAGGTACTACCTAAAACTTATCTTGACTCCACGTAGAGCCTAAGCTAATTTAGGGGTCGAGAATGATGTGTTTATTTTCTTCCTGTCATATGGGGGGAAAGGGAAGGGGGTCCTTGCAGTGGGTGGGGGGTTCCATCACCGCTCTGTCACCGCCCGCCCGCGGAGGAGGAGGAGGAGGAGGAGGAGGAGGGGGGGGGCGCCGCAAGAGGGGGAAAGCGGAAAGGGAACCGTTGAATCTCTTGTCTGGATTCCGGATCCAAAACCTCCTTTCCCTGGTCGGCTTCAACCCCCTCCCCATCCCCATCTCCATATTTCTGAGCTATTTACTAGTCAGTCCCTCAACTGGGGGTTTTACTTTAATTATTATCGACTCGGTAGCACCAAACGCTACTCCCAAGTCCTTCATTTAAGTGATCTGGGAGGGGATTCCTCCTCTTTAAGGAGGAGTTCTGCTTGGAACGTGTCAATTCCTCGGCTTCAATAGTTTCCCCCCCCCCCGCCATGTCTCACGTCCACCCCCGGCAGGACCCCATTGTGATGGTCATAGATTTTCACCATGCAAGGTAAGTACATACTTGAGAAAGAGATTAGAGGGAAGGCAATGGAGCGTTGGCTTTCTCTATTATCTCAAAGGTGGCGAGACCGCTCGATTCAAAGCAAGCATGTCGAAAACATTCTTGCGAGTGCGCTTCTCCTTTGCGCCGCGGGTGGGCGCAATCCGCCCTGAGCCCCTAATTCTCACTTTTCTCCTTTCGCTATAGTGCAAGAATGACAAGCTAATTGTGAATTTCAATCAAACTTGTCTAGAGGCCCTGAAATTGAACTATGCTTCGGTGACGATGGAGGAGACCCGGCCGCGGAGAACGACTGGTCCTTGCTGCCATTTATGGCCTTATCGGATGGAGCGCATTTGTACGACCCGAGCTTGCTTTCCATTCCTAATCCCGTCTCCCGTACGAAATGCTCATTTGAGCTCATACACATTGCCCACCAGGTCTACCGAGGAGTTCTCTTATTTCACGGTCCGCCGGAAGGAGACTGCGACACAACCTGCCACCTCCCTGTTCGGCATCTCATGCTCCCGACAAATCGACTCGAATATTCTCCTCTATCGACCGCCGGACGTCACAAGGTCAACGGTGCAGAAAGCGGTGGTTGTGATAACGGACAGTCCCCAGAGGTTGGGACAACTGAGGGAGAAGCTCTCAATTGTCACGTCGGCATGGTTTGCGCAACGGTATGTGCAGCAATGCTATCAAGTGTTCCTCTGTTGTTCTACTTTGGTCTGGAGGCTTCTTAGTGGTGCCACGATCGCTGACACATGCAACAGCGATTTTTCAGATCACGACATATTGAAGGTGTGCTCTCATCCGTGTGAACAAACCCATGGTCTCTGATTGACATTGGTGTCTAGAAATTTCGGGAAGGCCTGGTCATCAGCCTGAAGAAAGATGAGGACACGAAGGACCAGAATCTGGGTAAGATGATTGAGACTGTTCGTATGGTCGACCTGGGCTTACGCAAGCGCGAAGGGCTTTCCCTGCGGGAAATGATTCATGAATTCAAGCACCAGACGCTTGTCCTGTTCAAAGCTCTGCTTCTGCAACCAAAGGTAGGTTCCTTATGCTCAAAAAGGACTCGGCTTACCCGACATAGATGCTTTTCTTTGGTTCCAAGTGTGAACGGCTATGCATGATACAATTTTCTCTCATCTCGTTGATACCGGGTTTGATGAGTCGCTTGCAAGACTCTGCCGATCCAGCTTTTGACACCTATTCGCAGACAGTGGAAAAGCCCACTTCTCTGAAAACAAGTGACAGAAGCTCATGTATGCTGTTGGCCCCGCTTTTTTGTGATTTATGCTGAACCCCGCAGTGCTGGCATACATGGGATTACCCCTACAGATTTTTGGCAAGGTGCGTATATCTTCAACTGATTACTGGACGATCTAACTCCTTGCAGGGAAGCATGTTCGGACCATACACCCCGTTGCAGCAACTGGATCTGCTGGCGGATCACGGAACCAAGTCATACGTTGTTGGATCCACAAACTCTTTATTGTTACAGCAAAAAGATCGCTATAGCGATATACTGGTCAATGTCAGGATATTGTAGCAACCATTGCAGTTCTAGTGCTAATTTTATGCGCAGCTTGACGAAGACACTCTTACCATCAGCTCGCCGTCTCTTCGAAATGCTCTTACTCTCTCTGTCGCGGATAGGCGCTGGATCGACCTTCTCACTCAAATCATCAATGAAACCTGGGATGATGCACACCCCCAGCAGCCCAAAACGCATGGCTACATGGGTTCCGAAGAATTTATCAGGCTCCAGTTCGAGGAGTATCTCTTGGCGTTGCTTTCCTGTATGCAGTATCACGAGGAGCTTAGCTCTTCCACTGCTGGCGAGCCAGGCGGAAGAAGCCGTGCTCAGCTGGACGCTTACAACATCGAGGGCGACCCGGCGCTGGAGTTCAATGCAGAATTCTTAGCGCAGTGGAGCAACACACCCAATTATTCATTGTTCAAGCGCCTTACCTCTGACGCGCTTTTATTTTCAATTGTGGAGCCTCGTCACCCGTGCGCAGGGGGTCTGACAATCGACGATGTTCAACGACGTGTAACCCAACAGGTTGCCGAGCTGCACCTAGACGAGCGCGTGCGGGAAGGCCGCGAGGTCCTGAACAGACACCTCTCGACAGGCCAGAAGAAATTCAGTGCTGCTTTCAACAGCTTCTGGGCAGATATTGAATCCATGCGGGAGGCCCAGCGGAAGAAGACCGAAGAGAAAACGACACCCTCGCAACGATCGTCACTGGACAGGGGATCTAGAAACTCGCCTCCGTTTTCTCCTTCTGATACAGCATCGATCAATTCCAATGGAGGGGCTTCGTGGTTCGTTGGACGTAAGGCCCCCTCGGTGGACATGGCACAAGCACAGGCTTCTGTGAGTGCTGTGAGCCAAAAGGCGGGCGCCTACTTTAGCTCCTGGGGCACTTGGGCCAACGAGAAACGAAAGGAATGGCAAGAAAAAAAGCCCACGCCAACATCACCTATCACAACGTCGCCCTCTGTTCCCACCTTGACCTGCAGCACCGAGGCGGGTGAAACAGACCGAGGTAGACTCTCTATGCAATCACGGCGAAGTGAAGACCTCTCGACATTATCCCGGAGCGGAAGCAGAAGAAAGCGGTGGAGCAACATTCTTCTCCGCCGCGAAAGCGGCGAGTTCAGCCGCAAGGATGACCAGACAGGGGATAGTGACGAGCAGGAAACTACGTATTCAAAGTCCCCCTTGTCGCAGGAGGCTCCAGCTCATGGTGAGACTCACAGCGAACCAGTGGTTGGTCAACAAGAGCACACCACTCAGCATGAGGCCGAAAACCAGGGGAAGGACATGACAACAGTCACAGATAACACTGTCCTTACAACCACAGAAACCCAGAGGAATTCCCCGTCCCTGTCATCCTCTCCTAAGGAAGAACTACATTCGAACACCTCCGATATACACACCGAGAAAGCAGGCCAACCATGATAAGCTGCTCCATCGGCAGGTGGCGACGAGTTCGGCCTCGGGTTCGAATCCAGCCGAACATTTTCATGTCTAATAATATCACCCTTTGCAGATATGCGTGAGTAAATAGGGGTTTTTATAATATTTTTGTTCAACATAATGTCATTATATACATATTTCTTCTGGGTCTCCTGGTTCGCCCGTTCTACCCTCGATCGGAAAGAGACTTGGGCCCCAACAATGGATGTATTTTTACGCGCATCGGCTACCGTCAAGCCTCAAGAAACCCCTCCATGAGCACTGATTAGGATGAAGCTTGATTGAGACTTGGAATACTGCCATTTGCTAATTTGAAGATAACGAACTGACTGCGAAAACGCAAATCTTATTATACGTTACGCAGATTTACATATAGCCAATCTGGTACCGGTCACGCACGGACGAACATCGCTTGTCTACTAAGCACTCGACGCCTGAACCCTGGCACATGCCACACTGCGGCTGACGGCGATCACAACGGAGCTTCCGCCGTCGCACATTCCTCACACGCTGCTCCGGGCTTTGCCGTTTTCTGGGAGGGTTGTCCCGGCTCTCGATGACTTGCGACATGCTGAAAAGCTGCAAACTGGCTCAAAGAATACACCGGTCTAGATACCCGACATTGCTGAGTTGATATGAATCAGCGCTGAACCAGTAGCGGAATGCACGCGGATGTGGAGTGCTGGGTATAGTCCCCTCTTAGGGCTATCTTACCGACGATGCTGTCCTACACTTTTATTCTCCGATCTTGCTTGACCCCAGAAAGGCGACCGTGTTGCGATGTGCTGCCTTTCTACATCTGTAGGGATGAGTAACGCATAAGCGCCACGGTTGGTCTCAGGTTCTTCAAATACGGATCAGCGGTCCGGTGGTCGAATTACGGCGATCCTCACCTGAGACATTGGTTGGGATAGACTCTCTTTCTGGGTTGATGACAACACGAAGCGCCATTACTGCCTTCTGGAGTCGGATTTAATCTGGTAACTGCCGATGTGTGATGGCCATGAGGAACATGCACGCTCTAGCTGTCAACCGCCTTTTTTATTGGGCTAATTAGAGTTACGGGTGTTGAGGCTGAGTTCTGTGGAGCGATTGCAAATAACTCAACAAACCACCACTTGCACTGACGCCACTTCCGTCAGGGCCGTATATGGGAATAGCGCACAAACCATTACAATCCGCGCACTTGCCCTTTCTCGGTTGTTTTAACGTCTCTGGCTCAGTTTATTCATTACCCCGCTTGGATCTGGTGGGAATAAGCGTAAGGGTTTGGCTCGCCGATGACTGCCTGTCGTATGCTGGGCCTGGATGCCCGAATCCTCGTCCTATATTTGGCCGGAGCTTGTTGCCAAGCTCGCCAAACGTGGTTGACATGTTGCGAATGGAGGCGGCGTGACCTCGGCTCTGACACAAGGCTTATGGCACATGTTCGTGAGAAGCTTTCCTTGGTAGAGAAGAGGGGTATCTACGCGTGGGCTGTGTGCTCATCCAAACACTAGGGCATTTAACCTTCCAAGCGTTGAGGCTGAAGATCCGTGAAACGACCAATTTTCATAATCGACTTTCTGTACGGCTGGCCAGCTACGTCGGATTACAGGGCAGCAAACTTTAGTTGAAGGTCAGTGGTGTGCCAATGGCGTCAGGAATGTGTACGACCTTGCGTTTTGAGTCAACGGCTCTATTATGCCAACGGCTTTTATTGCTTGCTCCTATTGATGGGGCTATGGTGTCATAAACTTTCCTTCAACGGAATCCCAACAACACGAATACTGTGGCCAGTCCCGGGGTACATGAGTCCAACTGGCAGGGCGGAGCATATCGCGACAAATGACAAGGCCAATAGGATACGAGACAGTTCGGGAACCAGATGAAACCACGCGACAATCAGCGTTACACAAACCCGGCCGGTAGCTCGCTCACAGCACGACGACAATCTTTTGCGCGGAGGTGCCCTGAGCCTGTCGATCGACCGCTGCCTGGATGCTGTGTAGACCATGGCCTGCGACTAGGGGTTCCGGGGCGGGGATGAAGGATCCTGCCTTCAGCGCGCGGGGGAGGAAGTCCTCGTAGATCGCCTTACCCACCGCATTGTCCTTCAGCGTGGTCCCAAAGACGCTCTTGACGGTCACGCCGTCGGGGGCCTCGAACCCGCCCTTGACCGTGGCCACGAACTTCGCACCCTGCGACCGGCGGACTACCTCCACGGTCATCGGCGTGGCGGCGAACCCAATACAGTCCATGGCGCCGACCAGGGTCTTCCCCTCCAGCCACGCCACGAGATCATCGACGACGGTGGGGCTGCGGTAGTCGAAGACCCGGCAGGCGCCGAGCCGCGTGGCGTGGTCGAAATTCCGGGGCGAGGCCGTTGTGACAACCTCGTACCCGGCGGCGACGGCCAGCTGGATGGCGTTGCTGCCCACGCTGCCGGCGCCGCCCCAGACCAGCAGCGTTTTCTTTGTGGAAGACCGGTGCGGCGCCGAGGGATACCGCAGCGCGAGATGAGTGTCCTGGAACAGGCCGCACGCGGCAGTGGACAGGCCCAGGGGGATGACGGCGGCGGCCTTGTAGGAAAGGGTGTCGGGCAGCTCACTGGCCATGTTGGTCTGCAGGATGGTGTAGGCCTGGAAGGCGTGGTCCTGGTCGCGCTTGGTGGCCATGCCCACGGCCAGCCCGGCCACGCGATCGCCCGGCCGGAACCGTGTCACTTTGGGCCCGACCTGGATGACTTCCCCGGCTACGTCCTGGCCCAGGATGGTCGGGTAATCCATGGGCCACCATGCCTTGGCTTGGAGGCTGCCGTCGACGGGGTTGATGGCCACGGAGTGGTTTCGGACCAGGATCTCGTTCTCGGCGGGTTGCCAGAGGGGCGCGTTTTGTAGTTGAAAGGGGTGGGCTTTGGGTTCGAGGAGCCAGGCGGCTGTATTGGGGGGGTTGGGGGTGTTGGAGGATGTGGACATTGTGGTTGAGAATGGGCTAGGTGATGATGAAGTAGAGTGCGAAGGTTAAGGAGAGTTACTTTGTGGGCTGTTAGGCGTTGTGATTGTGTAGTATGACTGTGTAGGTGTAGGATCGTGTCACCGTGCAGCGTCACCTTATAAGTAGTGCATGCTGTCTATTTGTGGTGCATGTGTATACTCGAGTTGACGCTGGTTCTCGGTATATTGGCTATCTCCGCTGGACAACTCCGGGCGCTGGAGTCTCGGCCTCGGGAATTTAGGTGAGGTACTGTACAGTACCTTACAGTACCTTACCTAGTACGGAGTACGGAGACGGTCTACGAGTCGTTAGGAACTAACCCGGATTCAGTTGATTGCTTATTTCCGACCTCGTATCAAGCAGCTATTGAGCTGAGCATCCAGCTTATTCCTCCTCAGTGCATTCAACATGAATAGGTACATACATAGCACAGACACACCCAGCCATACAAACAACCCAACCATTGGCATCCAGTCCCCAACTCAAGCATTGAAGCACACACAGCAACAGCAAAGCCCTCCACCTCCCGCCTTCAGGGTTCTCAAGAACTATAACTGCCATTCCCTCCCAACCCAGCAAAGTACAGCACATCGACCCCAAGCAAAAGCAGAACAACTACCTCCACCTCCCTAATCACATCTCAGAATTCAGAAATCCGTAAGGGGGCACCCCACCAACACCCGCATAGGAACCACCTCCACCGCCCCCAGATCCCACACCCCCCGCCGGCTGTGCGCCGGCTGCATTATGCGCCGCAGGCTGTGCAGTCCGACCGGCAGTTCGGAGGTACGCTGTCCCCCTACTTCAATTAGAATCCGGGAATATCAGTTTCTGGGGGAGAACCCCCAGACCCCCCTTTCTTTCAGCTTCCCAGCCACCACTCGCCCCCCCAACCCCTGTTGTCTGCCTGTCCGATAGAAAAGTGGGCGACCACACCGACTTCGGCTGCATCACAATTCTCCTCGGAACTGGGCACCCAGGGCTTGGAGGCGTGGTGGGTACCCGCCCACCGAGACGTGGATCCCGTGGCCGGGGCGTACGTGATCATTATCGGGGACATGGTTTAGCGGTACACGGCGGGGTACTCTCGGAGCGCGCGGCATCGGAATAGTGTTCCGTTCTTTTTGAATGGGCAGTTGGGGGTTAAGGTGTGCGGCGTTGGATGGGTCCGGGGTCGAGACGGTGGTCGGGGAGCATGATTGGGGCAGGTTGATTGAAACGATCGGGGGCGGTGCTTGGTATTTAGGGCTATTCTGCCGAGTAACCTAGTTTGCACCCATTCAAGACAGAGGTTATACAACACCCCCTTCACATATATCGGGTAGATGAATCCCCCTGCTGAGGAGCCGGAGACGGCTTGCCCTAGCGCTAGGCCGAGGCGGGTGCTGAAGTAGCTGGGGAGGACGGAGACGCACGGTACGAAGAGGCAGTCTGCTCCAATACCGATTGGGAGGCTTTGGGAGAGCAGGAGTTGGTAGTATTGTTTACTTAGGCTGAGGAGGATGTGGCGATGTGATTGACTGTTAGTAGGGGTGTTGATAAATACACGGCGTCCCAGTTAGGGCTCGGAGACGGCGTTTTCGGGGTCTTGCCAGTTGGTGCTATTCTCCGGGTGGTGAAGGTGGACTTTATGAGGCATTCAGCCACTGTCCTACTGTAGATGAAGAGAGTTTGGACCAGATGGGAGTCTCTCGGAATAACCTTTATTCTTGACCAATGCTCTTCGTTTGGAGGTCGATACCCTCCGACTGACCACTGGGTAAGGACGTTCGGTTGCTTTGGTGGGAAGAGCCACACACAAGCGAATGTCTTACAGGACCGCAGGCATACTTCGGTCTATCCAGTGGAGACTGCAGAAGGCAGTGCGCTGGCTGACAAGGCTGCAGAATAGAGCGTCAAACAGGCAAGACGCCTGTTAATCATCATCACAACCACCGCGTATGTGCTCGGTGCGCCGCCCCGATGATTGCTATATCTCACTCGATGAGCTGCGGGAAAAACCAAAGAATGGATCCAGTAGTGGATGAGATGGGCCCGCGGGCCGACATGGTTGTGCTGGTTCCGGGTCTTGTATTCGCCCAGCGCCGCGATGGCCGCCTCCATCGGAATGAGCGTGCGGTAGGCCACCTCGTGGGTGTAGTGCGGGTAGGAGACGGGGTTGCCTATCGCAGCCGATGACTTGTCCAGCCCGTTAGGTCTAGCATCCTAAGTTTATCGGACTTGATCGGCAGGTGTACGAGCATGTGGCAGTGTTTCGAAAGCATCTCCACACCGTTGAGGTCGTGGCTCGGGCCACGGGTGTGGGGAGCATCTTTCCGGACATCTTCAGTCGTGCTTCGATTGACGACCCTGTCAAGTTGCAAGTAATGCTCTGTTCCCTGCAATATGCCTCAGCGCGCAGCTGGATAGATCCCGGAACACAGCCAGCGGCAGTCGTAGGCCATAGCTTCGGTGAGCGAGCAGGCCCATGCGTGGCGGGTGCCTTACCGCTTGAAGACTCCATGCGTATGATCGTGGCTCGTGCTACCATTGCTTGTTATAACGGGCCTCGGAGCTATACGCCGGCAGGTGCAACTCCGGCGGTGCAAGCAGTCATCTGTCGAGGAAAGGCTCACCCCTCAGTTTGTTGCTCAACATATCCGTTCACCTGTGTTCTTCCACTAGGCAATAAGAGATTAGCCTGCAAGTATCCATCCTGTGTCTTCCTCGAAGCTGGGTCCAACTCAACCGTTACCAGTATGGCTAGTCGAGCCCTCGGCAATCTCCAAAGCTCGCACTTTCAATCTATCAACATCACATGCGACAACGGGTGGAACTACTTGGTGGATGCAACAATGAATCTGTGGAAGGCAGGCTTGGGTGTGCAATTCTGTATGCCATCTATGCCTAGCAGTTCAATACTATCTGCCCACTGATCTGATCTCATTCTAGATATCTACGGAGTCTGAGATACACAACAAACTATTGAGTAAAAAGACCAAATCCAGGATCTAAACAGAGCGGCATCTCGTGTGTGTGCCCTGTTTTTCATGTCTGGAGCCTCGCAAATCATCAAATGAGGCCCTGAGAGAAGCAGTCAACTTCAAAGCCATTTCCTTCAATGCTTTCTTCGCCTCGACGGCCTGCTTATCTAGTTCGTCGATATGCGCTGTCGTAACGTCCCCTATTACCTCTGAACCATCATTGGTTACAGTTTGTATCTCGCATACACTGTCCTGGACCACCTCGCCTAACTCGCAGACTTTTATTTTGTGTTCGTCAGCAATCTCCTCGCGAAAATGATCGACAAGACCAGGCAGTTCTGATCTGATGCTGTCTTGAACGATATCATCAAGTTCTGCTTTGATGCTGTCGCGTACAATATCCTGCTGTAATTTGAGACTGTTGTGAATTTCCTCATCGATATACCTTTTGATGTAAGGATCGATCAGATGGACGCCAGGAGGGCCAGATATGCCGGGCTTGGATGGTAGGCCACCATCTACATCCCCTGACAAGCCCAGTAGACGATGGTGTCCGGAGCGAATCAATAGCTCGCGAACCCGATCTTCGGAAAGTCGGCTAAGCTTCTGCTCAAGATATCTAAGTAGAACATGATCTGTGTCGTCGGGTGACGAAGCATGTATAAAGTGGGTGGGACGGATCGAGTTTGAGGATGGTGACGGAGAGCAAGTACTTGGAGTATTGACTTCAGTAGGTGCTCCAAGCCAGTCTGGTTGTGTAAGAAGCGGCCTTTTGCAACCTTCTTCGGGTGACAGGGACCACCCTAGAGACCATCAACAGGCTATGAAAGCTGAAATCTGCTGTAACTGTGGAGATGGGGCATACCTCTGTCCCGCTTGCCAATGACCGGATTCAATTCGGGTTGGTCATTGTATTGGGGTGGATCCGCTTGCTCAGCCGGTGTTGATACATGTTCCTCATCATATGGGGGTGGAGAAAGCTGGAATATACTCGGATCTCTCTCGACTACACCACGCCGGTGATGGTCGAAAGACTCTGGCTGGAGGGTTTGTATTTTAGAGCAGAATTTTCTCAACGTCTCAAATTCGCCTCCTTGGAATTGTACCAGGGCAAAGTGTAGGCGTAGAGATTCTGATTGACAGATATGGGCGAATGCGATAAAGTTTGAGTCTTCTGGATCGGAAGAACTCAGAGACTTTGCCCAGGATGGACAAAGAACAATCCCCGGCCTAGCTAAATGTATACTGAGCGTTGAAACATCCGTAGCACCGCTTATAGTTTGTCGAATCTTCGAGGACAATTCCGATGGGCACAGATTAGGTTTGCTTCTCTTAACTAGCGAAGAGTTCCGGACCGCTTTGGGGCAGATATTCAATGTTAGTGAATCCGATCTGTCAGTGGAGTTAGCAAGGGCTGCCTTGATACTAAGAGAGATAGATCCTCGCTCGGGATCGTTGGAATAGGCAATGCGACACCTGGCATCGCAAGAATGTTTCGTGCCTGGTACAGAAACGACAACTTTCTTGGACAAAACCCAGTGCGACTCTTGCAAGACGGGCGACATTTTTCCCTCGAATGATCGAGTAGCCCTCCCACCCGGGCTTTGAAAAAGCGATGAGCAGCCCTGACTCCAGCGAATAAGAGATCAGGGATAGAATTGAGAGAACCACAGTAAAGAGACCGACCGAAAGCTCCTGCGGCCTGGCCACAAGTACATGCTCACTCCAGTTTAAGGAGTTGGAGAGTCCTATGAGAACACAGGAATGGCACGCCAAGCAGCGAGAACGGCAAGAAGAAAATGATTCCTTGATTGACGAACGACAACCAAGGTATCAGAAGCTCTTGCGGCCTAGCCACACGAACGTACCCAATCCAAGATCCAAACCTGGAGTCCTATGAGAACACAGGAACGGCAGGACCAGCGGCGAGAACGGCAAAGAGCGAACAGTCGAGTCCTTATGGGTGATAAAGATGATGGAGTTGATATCGCACAGAACGAAGGTGAGATGAGATGAGATATCTCAGGGGGAGAAGGGAGATGATGAGATTGTTGGGGGCGGTAAGATCGATACATGAGGGACGGGAACGGGCGCGTCGTCTTTGACCACGTGATCTTCGCATCCGTGGCAGGACGAACACAGGGTCAGGTGACCCTTCTTGTGTTGCTGTCTCAAACATAGACCACTATTGCGATTAAGGTACTGTTACTCTGGACTCTGTGCTAATTTCTTTCAGAATTTCTGACATTCATACTCTGCCGTCTATACATGCCGGGAACTTTACTCTAAAGCATCCTTTCAGCGTGCTAATCTAAGCCTCAGCGGTGTGCGTAGTAATACAGACCAGCAGGTTGCTTGTGGTCAGCTAAGCCTCTGGGTGACATACTAGTAGAAAGGATACTATAATCTCTCTCTTCCGCTTCTGGGATAATAGGGAGAGGGAGGCAGCTGCAGTGAAAGAGAGGTGCAGTGGCTGTATAAATGCCATTATTACTTCTATCATGTTCTCTATGTGGACTCGATACATAATTACTAAGATATTAAAATGTATTTTGCTCAATCCTTACCCTCTTTATGCTGTGTCTAAGATAGCATTGGCACTCGGAATGAAAGATAAAAGCCCTGAACATTCCTTTTTCTTTACCCTATCATACAAAAAAGCAACATGTATAGTACAGTCTCTATATATGATATCAGTGGTGCCGTATTGAAGCCACATAGCCTCCTCGGGCGAAGTGATGCAACGCGAGCACTGAGGATTGATCAGCTAGTGAGTCCACTTGTAATGAGGTATGAGAACGAGACGAAGGGTCTTTCAACTCCCACATAATGGGAAGAGAAAAAGGGGGAAAAAAAAAAGAGGAAACTCACAGAAGAGCATTAACAGCACTAGCGCCGGGAGTGTCCACGGCGACTGGCCTACTGCCTGGCTCTTTCCGGTGATATTCATGAGACTGAGCAGCGCCAGGCCTAGGCCCACGAGCGCGGTGATGCCCGTGCAGACGCGGCGCATGCGAAAATGCTGAGGGTCGCGAGGAAGCGATAGAATCGCGTAAAACCGTCGTGAAGATCAAGAAGAGGCCCGTGCAAATGCAGAAATACCCTGGGGGTTGGGTCAAGGTGTTAGTACTTTGTAAAGACCTCCCGGTGAAAGTCAGAAGAGAACAACGATGATGGGTGATGTACATACCAAAAGTCAGATCATAGACCTTCATTACCGCGTCGATCTCCTCCTGGATCGTGAGATTCGCCTTGGCTGCAACTTCCTTGGGGATGTTCCATCCGAAGTTGTGCACGATGGTCACCGTCTCCATGATTGCCGGCCACGACCACGTTGAGAACGATCTCGGTCACGGAAACACAATACCACGCTATATGGGCATTCCATGTAATGCGGGAATGGAACGCAAACGATATACCGAAGTAAACAGCTGCAGCGGCCAGCAACGAGATCAAAGTGGTCAACAATGGCGCGCGAATCTTGCGGTATTGCCACGTGAAATAGAGCGTCGTGCCGTACTGGCACGCGAGTACCAACCGGCTCACCATGAGGATCAGCGACAACTGCTGCATGGGACCCCAGGCTTCCTCCTTCAGGAAGTTAGGGCCGATGACGGCCAGCCCCATCATCACGCCGAAATGGCACCCGTGGGCCACACGCTCGAAGATGCTGTCTGTGGCAAAACGAACGTCGTACAGAGTGACCTGACACCAGGTGAACCATAAGATACTGATGAAGCCGACATATGAAGCCAGCGCTGGACGCAAATCAGCAAGCCGTTTCGCAGGGATTGATTATTCAGGGTGAGGAATCGGCCACATACTCTTACTGCTGTTCACATCGTGGGCAGTCACAAAGGAGGTCAAATTGGCCACGAAAAACAAATCGAAAAACAACTGGATGTTGGAAGTAGCCTCATAGCGTTCGAACTGAGGGTTCTCGAACAAGGTTTCATTGTGCGTGGCCAGACCGAGCTCACTATCGAACGTCGAGCCTTGCGGAGTGCTCCTCCCGGACTTGAACAGGGGCTGTTAGTCTTTGAGTGTTGCGATTCGCGATATCAAGACATACCAAGGGACTTGTCACAAAAGGGATTCGACCCATCTTGTATGCAGGAAAGAGGAGCTCTCAGAGTGCGGGTCGAAAACTGCTATCAGCGCCTGGGAATATTGTCCCTGATTTACCTCTTCCTCTTCACTGTTGTATATCACGAAGCATGATTTAGCATCTCGAGAGCTCTGGACTATCGCCTCCTTTGTCGGCCTTATATCTGTTGGATGCAGACAGAATGCGTTTCGACAAGCCGCAAGGAAAAGCAATGCCATCGTGCTATGAGGCATTTCAGTTGTGCACCAGGATGGTGGCGAACGGTTTCAGGAGAGAGCATGTTTTGTTTGAGGTGAACCTCGTTTTGTCGCATGGCTTCGAAGATCGTGCAGACTGCATATAACTATTCTTGCACCTGGATTGCATTGTTTATTGGTCACACCAAGATCTTGGGGCTGTAAACTGTATCTGTCCTACCGAAAACAGCTCAGCCTTATCTGTGTTGAGGTAGCACAAGATTTCAGGCGGTGGAGGCTGGATCTCGCCGGCTTCTATATCGCGAAGCTGCGGATAAATACAGTACTTTAGATAAACATAAGAATCCAGATTGCAACATCACCAAGCCTCATACTACAGCTTCATGCGACAGAATGTTTCACCCTCGATGCAAAGATGCGCATGGCTATGTGCTCTGGATGCAAAGACGCTAGGATCATCGTGGTCTGTCAATGCGGTCTTTGTTAGTTCATGAGATCTAGCCAACTGATAGCACGTACAGGAAAGAAAGCCACGCTCAGCTGCAGCAACTCGAGGACAGTGGAGAACCGTTCTGAACTCTCCAAAAGAATCACCCGAGACGAGGCCTGAGATGGGAGGTCAGGACAATCCATGCTTGTGCCGACTAGTCACTTGATCCAAGATTCATTCGATCCACTAAACTGCTTCCGTCAATTTTCAGTCTCACCAACGTTGGAGTCAGTTACACTCGCCTGGCGAATCAAGGACGGTCGAGAGCCGTTCTGGATTCTCGATAAGATTCCTAGATGGGTAAATCCATGCTGTGTCGACTAATCGGGCCGTCACTTCAGTTAAGATTCGATCGATCTACTAGAATGCTTCCTTTGTCCTTCAGTTCTCACCAACGTTGGAGTCAGTCACACTCAGCTGACGACCCAAGAACAGTGGAGACTCGTTCTGGACTCTCCAAAAGATTCATCTGAGCTGGGAGACCAGGACCATCCATGATGTGTTGACTAATCGGACCGTCACTCCATGCAGCTTTCGCTTGATCTACCAAATGGTTTCATCTTCCGGTTTCCACCAACCTTGGATCATTCCAGCCCGGTGTTGGTGGTTTCGTGTTCGATTACTCTCCGACTGTTGGGATGCAGTGACTACGAGAGAAAGAAGAGTGGTCATCACTTGTACTGTACTGTACACTAATGGGAAGGCCAGGAGATGCAAGAGGTTATTGATAACTGACGGCTTGAATACTGTTCGTGGCTGGCCATCTCTCACAAGATGCTACTGTAACGATGGAATCTCCAGCTCGGGCAGGTTGCAACATTTGGAAGCAATAAGCATCGACTCATCGTGGGTTGCAATTCACATTCTGCGGTAGAATATGAATGATGACGAGGAAAAACCGAGAGATGGAAGTTAAAAAAAGAAACCGTCCCAGCTAGAAGCATAATCTGGATTATCATTTGTGGTAGCAGCGCTATGAGAGAACTACAAAAATCTCCTTCCTCCATGGCTCGATGAAACCTGGCCTAAATCAAATCAAAATGTGAGGGCATGAGTGATACCGCGCTAACAGGACACACGGGGAGTATGAGAGAAAGTTGCGATGAGGTAATGGATAATCAGGTGATGTGAATAGGATGGCGGCACCAGCTTTATGCAATGTAAGCAATCTCGTCCCCATCCAAGCGCTCAATATAGTCCTTCTCCATCAGAGCCTCGATATTCTTCTTGATGTCGGGGACCTTGGGAGGGAAGCGAGATTTGACTTGTTGGATCACTTCTTGGACCAATTGTACGTGCTTCATTTTCTTACGGGACTTCATGATACGGACAATCGCAGACTAGAACAGTATTAGGCGGGGTGCATATTGACGAGATAGAATGAGAAACGTACCTGGAGTAAGAGCTTACGATCCTCCTCAATTGTCTTGTGTGTGTCATCCGACTCAACCTTCTGCTCCGATTTTATTTGAATGTTGAGGTTGACCTTGATCTTTTTGTTCTTGAAATTGTAGTTCAGGGCGAAAGTCGTTCCAGGTTCCGGCTTGGTTCCTCCGGAATTAATGGTCAGAACTTTAGCCTTGAGGAAAATGCTTAGATTGGGATCAAGGATCTCAGGCGAAAGGGAAGTGGCTTTTTGAATATCCTCGTAGCTTAAGGTGTCGTGCTCGTTGAAGAGTAAAAGTATTCCCATCTGGAATGTGGATACTTGGAACGTGTAGGGTACTTTGGTGTTCTTGATGTAGTTTGCCTTAATTTCACCCTTGCATAGCTGCCAAAGCCATGTCAGCTTTCTGCCACTGTGCTTGTCAAAGTAGAAGCTCTGGAATCGTTCAGACGTCTTGACAATTTCAGGTGGTGCAAGAAAATCGGTGGTAGGGGCATTGAGAGGCCAGAATCCAGTTCCGAGGATCTGGAAATGAGAGTCGACCAGCTTTCGCCGATCATCTTCATCGAGCACCTTCTCTTGCCAGTCCCGGTAGCTGGCGTTCAGGTCCTTCGAGATCTGAATGTCTTGGAACATGCGCTGCAGCTTGTTTGTGTATTCGAAACCGCACGCCTCCTTGAGCTTGCTGATCATGCTGGTTTCTGCATCGTCAGACACGGAGCTGACGTGTACTAGACGTTTGGCCAGCATCTTGGAGTAGAACTTCTGGAAAACGTCCTTGTCCTCGATGTACTTAAAGACAGTCATAATCTGCACCAACATTTCTTCCAACTCAGACTCCTCGGCAGCTTTAGAACCCTTCTTCAATAACGAATCGGTATAGCGCGCCAGCAACTCGGGTGTCTTTGTCGATCCGGACTTGCAGATCTTGTTGCGGTTGACAAACTCGCGGCAAGCATTATCCAGAGAACGGACAAATTCAGATTCGCCGTTAAATGCCTCACTGACCAAGCTTTGGTACCTGGTATGTACCTGTAACAATGCGTCCACGTACATCTTAGGTTCGAACGATGTCTCTCCGTCGGCGGCCACCTTCTCCACGGCGGCCAAGCCAGCCTTCCTCACATGAGCTTCAAACTTAGTCCGGAGAGGATCCAGGCCCTCTTTAATTCGAGAAAGAAGTCTATACATCCGAGCCAAATCATCTTGACGCTCGTTGTCCAGCAGAACCTGGAATTCATCTCGGAGAAGTTCCGAGTGAGCTGTAACCAGCACATCCAGACAAGTGTCGGTCAGATGTTTCGAAATGTCCGGGTGCAAGTACAAGCCAACACGAGCCTTTTCTTCCTCCAAACGGGCTTCTGCTTTCTTCATGTACTCGACCACGCTGTTCTCAGTAACAAATTGCCGCGACTCATTTTCGTAGTAAACTCTGGTGGCAGAGATAAATGGTTTCTCGAAGTGGTAGCGGTAAACCTCGAGCGTTGACCTGGTGCTGTCGGTCTCGTCAAGGCCAAGGGAAACGAACGAGTCGACAATGCTCTTGATCTGTGACTGTTCAATAGTCTCGCCGTTACGCTGCTTTTCGACCAGGTTCAGTACAGCCTCCATAACCTTCTCATGGACCTTCATGAAGAAGTCGTCCTTCCACTTCACCAGGTGCAGCGTGTAAACATCGTAGACATTCTTCTTTCCCTCGTCAATCTCGCGTTTGACCCAGTGTCTGTTCAGATAACGGAAGAGATGATTGATGTACTTGGCGGCAGTGGTGAAGCGAAGCCACTCGCGAATATAGAACCCCAACAACGCCTCCTCCGCATGGCTCTCGGATTCTCTATACACAGCGTCCAGGTGGCGTGAGAGGTATTCACCTAGTAGTTTGTAGAGTTCCTCCCCGAGTAAATGGGCTGCAGCGGTGATGTCAATATACGTTGCAGCGCTGGCCCACATAGATTTTGACCAGAGGGTGGAAGGGATAAAAAACTGACCGCCGCGATGAGCTTGTAAACCGTTGCCGCTGCCAACAGCTTTCTGTGATGTGCAAAAGTTGTGGACCGCCCTAGATCCAAAACTGTGAGTACTCTGGGTGGAGTGTATGCCTTGAGGTCAAACCATACGTGTAAAGGGCCATGTACTAAGCCCGCGTGAAGAGAGGTCAGCGATGCGACAAGTAATAAAGACCAGTGCAACATGAAAAGGGTGTCGAGGGAACATACAGTTTTCATGTCAACTCCTTCCTCTAGTTTGAGCATCACACTGTCGATGCCCTTCTCCAAGAACGTCCATCTACCTGAGTCAGCCGGTGGCCCGGAAGTAGTCGCCTCGATAGCCGACCTTGCGGATAAGAAACTGGACCTGGGAAAACTAACGTCTCATCGAGATCATCCTTGTGGGGTGTTTGGAGGAAAAGAGCCGGCATCTTGTGTTTGATCGCCCAGAATCGATCCTTGAACGCGGGTCTGTGGAAGATGCGTATGAACATTAGCCTGGTAGGACCAATATAGCCTCATGGAGAGCTTGGGGGGGCGACGGAAACATGTTACTGCAGGGACCGCAACATGAAGGAAGGAAACTGCCGTGTAACGAGCGAAGATGCCGATGAAATCAGGTATACATCAGCCTTACCTCCAACGTTGCAAGCGATAGGGACAGTGGATGACCTCACTCAGCGGAGGGCGGTTAAGGCAGCGGTGACGGAGACGGCGAGACGAATGATGTCCCTCCTAGCTAGTCTGGGAGCAGAGAGGATATCTAGAGAGTTATGATAGGTTGAGGGAGACAAAGAAGTGAAACCACAACCTGCAAGTCCCTAGAGTCAAAGAAAATGGGGGAGTAAACGAGACGCGCCTGAAGCTGGAGGAGAGATCGGGGATGGAGAAGCAAGCCAGAAAAGGCGTGGCGTTGGGCGATGAGTGCCGTGGGGGGAAGAGCCGGTTCCGGTAAGCGGTCAGGCAGCTCTATCGAAATATCTCCTCGGTGATCTACTGGCTGGCTTGAAGTAAATCTTAAGCAACTATGACCACTGCCTGATCGAGTGGACTGGCATTCGAAAAATGGTCAGGAAGATAACCAGGAAGTTCTGTTTCTACTGCCAAAAAATCTCGTTTGTTCATGCGGCTACTCGACTCTGACGGAAACCCACATCAGGCACCCCGACATGACATGCTTGCCTAGAGTGGGACATGGAACCCCATCCGAATGAGTTGGCTGCATTGTAGCATGCCTAAATTTTAAGCTCTCTGGGCGGTGTTGCTCATGAGCGCCATACTCAAACGCCTCTGTTCTTCCGAGCAGGACAATGACCATTGTTGTCGCAGCGAACATGTTTGCTGCTGAGTACTGGTAACATCACAGAGCCTGCTTCGTGGGCTGCAAATGACGTCATATCTAGCTAAATCGAATGCCGGTCACCCTTTTAATCAGGAAGACATCCTCCGCACCGTCCGAACTCGCACATCTCTTATCGCGTGCCTTGCTAAAAGCTCGGTGCAATCATGCCATTCAAGCCGCTCACTGACATCCACGTGACCTACCGCCAGATCCCTCAGTGGCAGGGTCTTCCGAATACATCCATACAGTCAAAGCCACTCATCATCTACCACAAAGCATTCGACGCGTCGGCTAGGGACCTTGCAGCACATTTCGAGGATGTAGGCGAGGTCACGTCGCAGTGGGTCTATTCTATGTACCGTCAAACGCACTTCCACAGCACCACCCACGAGGTATTAGGGGTGGTTTCCGGCCGTGCACGCCTTTGTTTTGGTGGAGAAGATAATCCCGAGCGCTTTGAACCACTCGTCGAACGAGGGGACCTGATCATAGTACCCGCCGGTGTGGGCCATCGACTCCTGGACGAGCTGGGCACAGACGAAGGACCTTTCAAGATGGTCGGTGCCTATCCGCCGCAAAAACAGTGGGATATGTGCTACGGCGAACAATCCGAAGCAGACAGGGTTACGAAGAATATTCAGCAATTGAATTGGTTCCATGGAGATCCCTTATACGGCAAAGATGGACCGGTTTTGCATGTGTAGTTTGACCTCAGTGTAAGCACGTGGGCTTCGCAGTATGTGTACATCTACCATTGTCGGGTAAATCAGCCGTAATGCATATATTATTGGTATCAAAGCCAGGACCTTCGCACAGCATGCCACATATGAACGCCTCGCCTAACCCAATTGACAGATGACCAAACCAGGGGGAAACACCAACTGAGAAAGAATAGAATGTTATCAGGTAAACGCAAGGGCATGAACAGCAACAATCCGAAGTAGACACGGAGCAAGGATGAAAAGCTGGGTATAAAGTGAAGAAAGAAAGGCAAGGAAAGTCGCTAGGGGAACCAAAGCCCCAGCCAAGTGCTTCAAGAAGCCACACGTTCGACAAGTCTATAAGGTTAGAACGATTAGCATTCAACAGTAAGCGTTCTGGGATTGTAAGCTGGTTTACCTGAGCACACTGATCGCAAATGTTGTCAGCCAGGCCAGAAGCGCAATCAGAAGAACACACGCGAGAGCTATTTGTCTGTCGCAAATTGCGTCATTCTTCGGCGTGATCTCTTGATTGACTTCATTCAACGTGCATGCCCCCTGCACAGTGGACAAGGATTCGAATGCTAAACTTAGATTGGCCGAGTCGAAAACAATAAAAAAAATATCCAACAGGATCAGCCGTGCTTTGGCGGATGCAGACCGGAGGCCCAGCGGCTTCGAGGTATATTCGTCGAAGGTAATATAGATCAGATATACGAGAGCCACCGCGTCAACAATGATGGCCATGAGCGCGGAAGGGCCCTGAGGATGTTTATATTGACCGGATAGATGCTGGATCGAGCCCCCTAGTGCCAGGGCTGTAAGCGAAAAGCACCATACGGTAAGTCTGAAGATAAGAGGGACCATAGGACTCCTGAGAAGAGTATTATGGAAGCGCTTGAACCAGATCTGTCGGCGTCTCTTCATCCTCAGCGGGTCCTCGGTATCCTCATCTGGAGCGAGTTGTCCTCGCCACGGCTGCGATAAATCGCCCAGGTTTTCGTTCAACCATTCTGGCGTTACAGACTTCTCTTCCACGCCCGGCTCACGAGGATATGCAATCACCTTCGAGAAATTCTTCCAGCGCGACTCGCGTCGGGAAGGGCCCCCTTGCTCTTCATCATCCTCATCGTCGGCTCGGCTCGGGCGGTTCGGTCTTGTCGCATAAGGGGAGTGATTGTGCTGCGCCACAACGGCATCGTCGGGTTGCGAGGGAAGAAGGCTGGCCGTGGCAGGAACATCGGTATCTTCTTCGGGGTACTCTACCGAGCGAATCCAGGCTACAAGCGACGAAGGTGCAAAGTCAGCAAGGACTGCATTGGGGGAGGGGGGTAGAAGGATCCACGCTCAAGTTACCTGGCAATGTTCTTGGTTTCCTTCCCATTATTGGACCAAATTCAGGGTCTCCCACCACAGTGCTCTCTGGTGAGCGCGAAGTGCCCGCAGGCTGGTCTACCACATCCTCATTGTGACCGAGGTCATCATTGCTGTTTACTGCGCCAACGGAAGGGTTGGACTGCGCCGACATCCATTCCGTGGTGGAAGGTTGTTCCGACAGCTGTTCGTCCGGAACTGAGCCTGAATCTGGTGGCTGCAAAAAGTAGCTGTCGCGCACATCGTGGGCCATTGCCTTGAATTTCAGCGATTGTCCCAGGCAAAGTTGCGTCGGATTGTCGGAAGCAGGGGGAAGACGGCGGGTCCAGTCTGCATCGCCCCAATGTTCCTCGGACTCCTAGCGGGTACAGCGCCTTAGACTGCAATTGGGGCACCCGTTTCTCGCTAAAAGAATAGAAACATCCGCTGAGAAAGGATATAGACGGCACCCACCGTGTGATGTATAAAGAAGAGGTGGGTGGTGTGGAGAGAAAGAAGCGCTCGCCCGGGGGGGGGAGGAAGAGTGGGAGGGGGGCTGGTTCGGCAAAGGAACCATGAATCGGAGCGCTTTAGTTTTTTAGTGCCCGAGACCTCGTGAATAACTAGATTTTAGTGATGGTTCCTACTCCATACTGTAGGAGTCTCGCCGGGAGCGGAATGACGTCGGCCCTGCACCTGCTCCAGTGACGAGTATCGCGGCGGCGGAGGCGGAGGCGGATTCAACCATCACTACCTCTACTACTACCATCACCACCACCAGGTCCATTTGCGGTGGCCAACAATCTGCTTCCCCATTACCAGCAATCCCACCAGTTTGACACTGCCTCCCTCTCTCCCATAAATAAACCTCTCGGTGGATACGTTGAGGCATGCGACTGTCATCCACTGCTTCTCACCGGCCATTCCCTTTCAGCCATCGATAGTCAAGCTCCCTGTCAGCTCACCACAAAAACACCAAGCAATCCTTTGTACGCTACCCAGCGTTTGCCCGCTTTTCGGACACATCAATCGCAGATCCCAACACGCTTGCAAAAAAAAACAGTCATTGCTATGCGAATCTTCATTGTTCCCATATCGACGCGACGAGCTCTCATCTACGCTCGGCCCGTCGGCCAAGCATTATCCAAGGAGCGCACGATTGTTGACAAAATCACCAACAAAGCGGCCGAGACATGGGCTAAGTGGGAGGAGGCGGATAAAGGCTGGAAGAAGCACCTGGTCTCCTGGGGTAATCGGGTGCAACAACGAATTCCCTATCAAGAATGGGGTCTCAAGAGCATCCCCTCACTGAGCTCTCAGCAGCGCATTGACAAGACCTACGGGACAAAGAAAGTGGATGTACTCTTCCCCGGCAATGCAGTCCGATCGGAGAAGCTTCACTCACTCTTACAAGCTATCGCGACCGAGAGGCAAGACTTGCATCGCAAACGGATGTGGTGGAGCTTCCTTGCGACACCTCTCACGATCCCCGTTGGACTCCTTCCGGTGTATGCTCCCTTCTACCCTGTCCGCGATGTATTGGTGCTGGGCTAATTATCTTGCATACAGCATACCTAATATTCCTTTCTTCTACTTGATGTACCGCGGTTGGTCGCATTGGCGAGGTCGGTTTCCCCATCTGCTGCAGACGCCAAAACATAAGCTCACCAGTCTCTAGCTCTCAATGGATCCAAGCACCTAGAGTTTCTCCTGAAGAAAGACCTCCTGAACCCCATCTCTTACCCTGCGCTTGAGAAGCTCTACGCTAAACGAGTTTCGTATGCACTGGAGAGCACGGTGGTGGACAAGCCTCATTCGGAGATGGTGGAGGATGTCGAGAGGAGTGACGACAGATTGCTACTCCGCATGAGCGATGCGAAGAAATTGGCCACCATTCTCGACGCACCAGACCTGGCTCTGGAAGCAGAACGGGCTATCGTGCAAGTGCAGGAACAATTAAGCTCGCATGGTCAAGGAGATAAGAACCAGCGTCCTCCCAAGGAGAAGGATGCATGAGTGGGGCTTTATCGCGGAGAGAAGGGATTTGATATCTAAACGGTGCTCGAAGGTGTTCCTGGTTGTTATGGTTCAGGGCCTACGGTGGGCTCTAATGTGCCACTTCTGGTGCGGGCTTCATGATTAGGGCACAAGTACATAAACAATATAGAGCATGAGCCATGTATTTGAGAATTGAATGACCTGATACTGAATAAATAACTCTACTCTACTGTACATCTACTTCTATGCTCCGAACGGAACTAACTTGTTCCGGGCAAACCCCCATGGTTTGAATTGGAGCCACTGCGGGACTCCCGACTTGGAGAACCGACCAAACATCCATCCATCCATCCTCCATCTCACTCCCTTTCGCTCATTCACGTCATTCTCTTGTCGCTTGCTTGCCTGCTCGCGTGTTACATTCATTCTTAGCTATCAATCTCCCGCAGACATAATCCCTCTATCACCATGTCAAATAAGAAGATCGAGCAATGGGAAATCGAACGATATTGGGAGATCTTCGCATCACTTGCAGGCGGCCAGCCGCGCCTAAACAACTCCCAAGCCGCCTCCGTATTGAGGAACAGCCGGCTTCGCGATGACCAACTCGAGAAGGTTTGGGACTTGGCTGATGTCGACGGAGATGGCGAGCTGGACTTTGAAGAATTCTGTGTTGCCATGCGATTGGTCTTTGATCTTGTGAACGGGGTATGTGAGCTCCCTCTCCATCTCTTTTGCAGCTGCGGTGGCTTTCCCCGTACGGGGGACCCCCCCTCCTCGAGGGCCGCCGGCCGCATACACTTCAACCGCAACCACTCTCCACACCACCCAACCCCTGACGCTCAAATTGCAACCACATTCTCCCTACTGATGTGATACATCTCCCTAAAGGAACTACAAAGCGTACCTAATGTCTTACCCGACTGGCTCGTTCCCGAATCCAAAGCCCATCTAGTCCAAGCAACACGAGCACTAAGCGACCGTCCAGAACAATTCGAACGGATAGAGGATGAAGACGACACCCCGGGTCTCAAGGATGGATTCGAATGGTACATGAACCCGGCAGACAAGTCTAAGTACGAGGACATCTACCTTGCGAACAAAAACCACCGCGGAGAAGTCACATGTACGTCGCCCCACCCCAAAGATCGAAGGTCTACATGCTGTTCTTCCTTCTCCCTCCCTTGGCCCCGGTGGAGAGCACTCGCACTTCTTTCTGCCACAAAATCCCTAACATGTAGCCCCTTGGGACAAACTAGTCGAATCACTACAGGGTCTGTACGACTCCCTGGACGTGCCGGACACGGACATCCGCTCCGCATGGAACCTGGTCAACCCGTCCGCCTCGCCCGCGATCAACAAAGACGCCACCCTTGCCTTCCTGCACATCCTGAACTACCGCCACGAGGGCTTCCGCATTCCGCGCACCATCCCGGCCTCGCTGCGCGCCTCGTTCGAGAACAATCAGATCGACTACCAGCTGGACAACGTGCGACCCGCCCAGAAATGGGGTGGCGGCGGTAGTGCCAACGGCGACAATACTGAGACCGCGACCGGCCGGAAGGCCAAGTTCGGCGACACCTACCTCAGCCGCCTCGGTGCCGGGGGCAAGACCTCGTACACGCCCCGGGGCACGGACTTCAGCGACACGATCCAGGACGAGGAGTGGGAGAAGGTGCGGCTGCGGCGCGAGCTGGCGGAGCTGGAGGCCAAGCTGGACGCGGCGCGCAAGGCGTCGGAGGGCCGGCGCGATCGCGACCGCCCCCGCAACGACGGCCGGCCCAACTGGGTGCTCATCAAGAAGGAGGCCCTGCAGCTGCTGGAGTTCAAGGAGCGGGAACTGCGCGAGCTCCGCGAGGGCGCCGGCCGCACCAAGGACGGCCAGGACACCGAGCGGCTGCGCGAGGACGTCAACGCCGTGGGCGAGCAGGTCGAGGGCCTGAAGACGCACCTGGCGCAGCGGAAGGAGGTGCTCGCCGACTTACGGCAGCAGATCGAGGAGCAGAAAGTCTCTCGGTAGAACTGTCTGTTGTGACTTGGCGTCGTTCCCCTTTGTTGCCATGTTTCTTCTCTTCATTCTTTGAATATAATCTTCCACCTTCATGCTGCTATTGGTGCGGGACTTTGTTTTCTGTCCCCTTTTCACACTGAGTCTCATCACGACATACTTACTGTATAGCCAATTCTTCTTTCACTTCAGTTTTCAAATTCTTGGGCGAGGAGCTCCAGGCGCATAAATGGATGTTTGAATTTTGTTTCACTCTGCTTTCTCGTGCTTTTGAAAGTTCAAGTTCCAGCTTCCAGCATCCCAACTAAGGCTTGTGATATACTAGACGGGTTCGAAAACAGCTGCTGATTCCTGATCGCTACACTAACTGATATTCTAAGCCTAGGCTATCATCACTCACTACCTTGAAACACATGTACAGTACAGAAAAGTACCATATCCCAAACAAGACCCCTCTAAACAAGACCCATTTCAAACAAATACTCCCTTTCACAATTACGCCACTCTCGTCTACTTTTAAGTCCATTGTCCATCCCGAACCAGGAAAAGCACCACGCTTGAAGACGCGCTGAAATCGCACACACACATATACATACATACACACACATCTAAATCCCCAAACGCGACGAAAAGAAGAAAACCCAACCCCAAGCCACCAGAAGAAAACTACTTGCTGACCAGCTGCTCCATCAAACCATCACCATCGCGCTTCGTCTCGACGGCCATAAACGCGCGGCCACCGGCATCCAGCCCCTTCTCGGCGCGGACATAGGCCTCCTCGCTGCGATCGGTCAGGACATCCAGATCGGCCTGCGAGAGGATGGCGGACGCATCGGTGCCAGACCCGAGATCGAAGCGCTCGTACTCGTCCTCGCCGAGGGCCTTGCGCAGATCCTCGATCTCGGCGTGCGTCAGCGCCCCAGCCCCGCCGCCGGTGGCCGACGAATCCAGCAGACTCCGGAACTTGCCCTTCTGGATGACCAGACGCTCGAGGCGGCGCTTCGAGTCCGCCTTCTCGAGCAGGGTCTGCTCGACGGTGCCCTTGGTGGCGAGCCGATACACAATAACTGGCTTGGTCTGGCCGATGCGGTGGGCGCGGTCCTGGGCCTGCAGGTCCTGCTGCGGGTTCCAGTCGGAATCGAAGAGGATGACCGTGTCGGCGGCGACGAGGTTGATGCCCTGCCCGCCGGCGCGCGTGCTCAGCAGGAACAGCTTGTAGGCCGGGTCCGTGTTGAAGGCCGTGATCTGCGCGCGGCGGTCCTCCTGGCTGACGGCGCCGTCGATGCGGCAGCACCGCCAGCCGCGCAGGTGCGTCGCCCAGTCCTGCAGGATGTCCAGTTGGGTCTTGAACTGCGAGAAAATCAGGACTTTGTGGCCTTTCCCCAACAACGCGGGGAGGAGGCGGTCGAGGAGGAGCATCTTGCCCGAGGCCGTGACCAGGGTCTCGTCGAGGGCGGTTGGGTCGGTGCTGCTGCCCCACGGCCAGTAGAAGTTGTGCGGCGAGTTGCAGACGAGGCGCGCTTGCATGATTGGGTTCTGCATCTTCTTTTGCGCGATTTCTCGCTCTGCGAGGTGCAAGGTTAGTGTCCGATACGAATCTCCGCTGGTTTTATGTATGGGGAACAGGGTGATACATACTGGCTAGTTTGATGGTCTTGGCCCTCTCCAACTCCTCTTGTTCGGTCTCACTGGGTTCGTCGATGTCAAGATCCTCCTCCAAACCCTGCTCGAGCTTGCGCAGCTTCGTGTTGAATTCGCGGTCGCTCAGCTCCTTGTAGCTCTGCGGCCCCCTGCTGCGTCTTGTTGCCCGACCTCCACTGGCCGGGGTGGAGCCACGACTTGATTTGAGGCTCTTGCTGGGAGACGACGCTTCACTCGCCTCCGCGCTTCGCTTCAGACTCTGCGAGCGGGACAGTCTGTCGTTCTGAGCCAGCAAACGCTCGGTGGCTTTCTCCTCGAGATACTGCCGGCCGGTGCCATTGAGGATCTCACGATACAGGTCTTTCTGTTCGGTGGTCAACGGAGCGTACAGAATGTACTCCCGCTTCTTGGGGAGGGAGGTCTCGACGTCGGCTTTTACGCGGCGCAGGAGGAAGGGCTTCAGAATGGAGTGCATGGTCGACACGAGGGTACGTTTCCGGCGCTCCATGACATCCGTCTGGCCGCTCTTATCCAACATGGAGGAGAAGTCGAACCAGCTCTGGAAGCTGTTCAGGTCATTGAAGATCTCCGGCAGGAGGAAGTGCAGCAATGACCAGAGCTCCGTGATATTGTTCTGCAACGGGGTACCAGTGATCAGAAGTCTGTTGGCCGAGTTGTAGGTGAGAAGCTCCTTGATGAGCTTGCAGTTCATGTTCTTCAACCGATGACCCTCGTCCTACGATTGGTTTTATGTCAGTCAGAGTTCCCCCCTGCACCGTCACCGGACGAACATACCACAATGATATAGCGCCATTGATACTGCGCGAGGAACTTCCGATCATTCATGCAAATTTCGTAGGAGGTGCACACCACCGGGAAATCCATATCCCTCTGGTTCCGCATGTTCATAAACTTCCTCCGGAGCTCCGCGCGCTGATCCTTGGTGCCATGATACAAGACTGTCTTGATGCCAGGCGTCCATTTGGCGAATTCATCCACCCAGTTACTCACCGTGCTCAACGGCGCCGCAATCAGAAAGGGGCCCGAGACATTCTTCTCCTTGAAGAAAGCCAGCAACGAGATCGCCTGCACCGTCTTGCCCAGCCCCATCTCATCGGCCAGAATCCCACACAGCCCATTCATCCACAGCGACTTCAGCCATTCCAGCCCTTCCAACTGATACTTCTTCATGCGACCCCCAGTCACCAATCCCGGCTGCTGCGTAGCGACCAGCTCCTGTCCGCCCAATGCAGTCGGGTTCGCCTCATACTCATCCGCCGCATGCTCCAACGCTTCCTGGACCGTGGGCTTCTCCTCGTCGATCTTCACATCCGCCTTCTGGAAGTAACTCGAGATCGTGTTCCCACCTGCAGCCGCCTTCCGCCCACGCCCTCGCTTCGATTTAGTAGTGGGTTGCTGCTGCTGTACACCTTCCTCCTCGACCTTAACCGCCCCATTCGCAATCTCACCCGAATTGGCATTAGCAGCCTGCCGCGCACTCGTCCGCGTCTGCCTCGTCATCCCCCCACCATTCTTCAGCTGTTGCTGCGCCGTACTAGCCTTCGTCGGCTTCGGGGTCGTCGCAGCGGCACCCTGCTGCTCCCGCCTCTGCTGCTCCCTCAACGCCTCCGCCCTCGCCTCCTCCTGCTGTTTCTTCATCTTATCCGCCATAATCGCCACGAACACCTGCCCCGCCAGAAAGAAGAGTCAGCATGAAGAACAACCCTTGCCACCTAGGAAAGAAACCCCCCCCCCCCCAAAATACCTCCTCGCACAACCGTAACAAACCGGCACAAAAGCCAGGGAGAAAAGACCAACCTCACTCGTATTCAACAAATGCATCAACGCCTTCGCCTGTACATCCATCCCCTCCAAATCCTCCGCGGGACCGGAACCGGGCTTTCCGTTCTCGGAAGAGTGGTGATGCTGGCCTCCATTCTGCTCGACGGTGGTGCTCCTCATTTTTGGCTTTCCTTGCGCTTGCTTTTCCTCTCCTTTGCTTTTCTTTCTCCTTAGGATGGACAGCGAGTGGGCGTCCGTGGATTTCGCAATCTGCTTCCGCTTCCGCAGGCGAGTTGGCGAGTTGGCGAAGAATTAGGTATTATGACAATATAACAGTATCCTCTACCTTGTCCTGTCCAATAAATCTCGATAATTGTATGCAGAATTAGTGGTGTAAGACGCAAAACCACTGTATCAATTCGCCACCACCGGAGGGCAAAAAAAAAAAAAAAAAAAAGAGACGTGTGGATTGTGAAGCTAGAAGGGATTGAGGAACTCCGCTCTTTCGCCGCTGTGGCGCACGCACGCGCGCGGGGAGTTTGAGTTGTCGGATGAGATCGGATTGAGATGGTATGCGAAAGACAGAGTGCCGCAAAGCAAAACAATTGAAACCAAGTCAGAGACAACAAACTGAAACAGTGATCCTGCAAAAGCCAAGAGTTAGTGGTTGGTGGTGACGACTTGGTGTAGAGGCTGACGGAGACGACGCGGAAAGGCGCGTTGCGGGCGCACGGACCACCTTTTGATTGATTTTCTTTTTCTTCTGGCCTTCCGTCCCATCTTCCACACCGCGCGAAGTCACATGCTAAAGAAAGATAAGCTAAGCTTTGGTTTCCTGCAGGGCAAGATCGAGTTCGGTTGCTTAACCGTACGACTACTGAGACAGTGAGGAAGTAGTTTGGGGTGGGAATTTCACCATTAAGCTATACGCAAGAAATCAGTTGACCTGACTAAAGCTCTGATCACCATTCGTGCATCGAGATTTTATCGTGTGACATTGTCATCTAGATTTCAAGTACATAGACCACAGACATCTTATTCTTACATTTCGCTTCCTCCTCCTCCTTGAGATAGAACATCGAGTGATGGGACCAGATGGGATGGGGCTGTCCTTTGATTGCCGCAGTCAACACACCCTTATCGGCGTGGTTCAATTCCATCGGCAAACCACGGATTAGATTGGTACCTGCACAAGGATCATTTCGTCCGCAGTATCACATTCTTCTGCATCACTTCCGACGGATTCGCTTTCAGACCTTGTATCAACGTCCGGCTTGGCGCTGTTTGATTGCTCCTCTGCTTCTAATCCGGGGTCTAGCTCGCAGGTGGTATGTGATGACGCCTCTGTTTCTTGACTGAGCATATCATCCTTTACGCTCTCAGACGATTCCGCCTGCGTATCCTCAATTCTCGGATATTCCGCGCTTTCAGAGAAGGCATCATTGTCACTATCTTGTAGCGACATAAGATCTGTCCTGCGAAGCACTTGAGAAGGACTTGTAGGAGGGGTCCATATTTCTTCAGGTAGCAATTTGCGGGATCTGGATGGTTCATCTTGCTGGGCTTCCCTGGCTGCTCCTTTTGACATTCTCTTGTGTGCTTCCACCACCATTCCGTTGATCTGATTTCTGATACGCATGGAGACTGTCATACGTCTCATCCCACCGGGCTGGCCCGAGCCAATTGACATGGACCCACTAGCTGCTCTCTGGGATGTTCCAGTCGAGGCGTCAGGATGTCTCTGGTGGTGCTCGTTCGCACCGGACGTTGTGGTAGTGTCGCTTTTTCGTGTGGCAAGTATCGGACCACAACGCTCGAAGAAAATCCAACTTAGTGGAGGAAACTCCTTGAAGCTATTCTTTGGTTGTATGTACTGCAACTCGGGATGTGTTCTCTGAGCCAACTTTTCCTCACTGATAAGGCGAGTTTCGACATGATTGTCCCAATTGGGATGGTGAAAGTTCTTGCTTGTGTCCCGATGACAGAGAAGCAGCCATCTCGGAGGATCGTTGACATGACCCTGGCATGACAAGATATCCTTCAGCATAGATGGGCTCTTTGTACCAATGCAGTTGATCAAGGATACCTGAACCGAAGTTCTATCGGTCACTCGCAACGTTCTGTTATCAATTGCAGCATCACCCGCGGAGCTCATGCCAGATGAATCAGAGGGACGAGGCTCAGGTACAATGCTCTTTTCTAACCCACGACGCAGATCATCGGCCGAAACCTGCAATCCAGTCGTACAACCCGTCCAATCGCCTGCAAGTCTCCCGTCCAACTCACGCTTCAGCAGAAACCTTCGAGCGCGGAGTACCTCATCGGCTGGGCAGATCAGGAAATCCAGTGCGACAGCCCCCTTAATCTTGCGAAGGTACCTTCGCAGAACCATCTGGCATGCCAGTTTCGGCTGAACCTGACTGGCTCGCGGGGTGACATTGTTGGTCCGAAGAATCGCTCTGAGCTGCTCCGCACGCATTGCCTCCAGGAGCCGGTCTTCCTTCTCCAGCTGCTTCGCGCGAAGTCCTCGATTGTACTCTAGCTCCTTCATCTCCTCTTCCGAGATCCCAAGCAAGATCCTGGCGGGTCGACTATGGCTTTCCTCCACGTTCTCGAAGACTTCAACCTGCATGTGTGGTGATAGATCGCGCCATTGGGAAGCCTGCAGCGTCAGATCAACTCGTCGCGTTAGTGCTTCGCTTTCTGGATCCCGCCCCACCACGGCTATACATAGAGATCCTACCGTAAGTGGTTCTCTGACAAGCTCTTCATCCTCCCCGTCCGTGTCACTATCTTCCATACTTTTCTCGAATGTCGCGCTTTCCGGCTCTGCTCGAGCCATGATGGCCATGTTCTTGACGTAAATTAGATTGAGCTCGCCATTGCTCGCAATCAAGTTGTCAAACTGCTCGACGGGTAACTCCTCGCATTCATCACGGGTTGCCGCACCCGTCTCTAGGACAGGGTCATCGACATCATTATCACCATTGATCATGCATTCGTAGGAGCGCTTGCGAGGGTCATGGTCTTCGACCTCGTGATTCTGTTTATCGGGGCGAAGCTGCGGGGGGCGCGGTCGATCCAACGTGGGGAAAGCCGCAGGGGGGAGGTTGGGATTGAACGTATCGGCCCTACACTGATAGGAACTGATGGCTCGACGTGGCGCTCTTCTTGGGGTCGTGCAAGTGTGCGCCTCTTCGTTGAGGCGGTTGGGCAGGCGGATGTTCTCGCGGAGTCTCATTATGAGCCTGCCGCGTCAGGTGAGGGAGACATGAGGATGAAAGTAATCAAGAGAAATAGGAAGATGAAGAGAACGGAGAGGTGTATTGGAGTCGAATGCCAGGCAGAAAGTACCAAAGAGAAGAGAGTCCCAAGGCACGTGGAGAGCTGGTGAATGAGAGTGAAGTGAGTAGTGCAGTGAATGAGCGAGACTTTCCTTTTCAGAAAGAGGAAAACATACGGGCGATAGTGAGTGAAGCTTCTACCAGCAGCAAGAACATCATTTGAACTCTCACCAAGTCCAATTACCATGTACTCAGGGAGCAGGACTTTAAACCACATAGACATCATTATTTCCTTTCTAGGTGCTGCTCAGGTAATGTAACAAAGAGGCAAGCTTCAAGATTGTAGTCATACAAAAATTATCACACACACACACACATACTAGCGAGATCTCGGAAAAACGTTCTCATGCAGCCATGACATCTTTTGACATCTTCTTCTGACATCTTATCTTGTGCCCGCGAAGAATATCCATCCATGTATGTCATCCTGACCGATCCTCGAATGGAGCCAGGGGTCGTCTGTTCTCATCCGCCGCCTCCCCCGCTTCCAACCCCCTAGCGTAACCATCCTCTTCAACCATATCGAATTCAGCGGCATCCCGTTTTCTACTCGCACCCTTGAGCGTAGTATACTTTGCTTCACTCGCCCGTCGAGATTCCTCGACAACCCGCTTGGCATCGAGGATGCTCTCGAAGGACAACAGCAGCTGTGACGCCGATTCATCTATGTCGATACAGAACCGGCGCGAGGAGACATACTGCAGTGCCTGCGGCAGACTGATGTTGAGCATCACCATCAGATACGCGATCGCTACCACAGCCGACGGACCATTCCCCGTCTCACAAAAGAGCAGGACCTTCTTCCGTGCATGGCCGCTCGGCTCGGTGGCGGGGAATGAAGCGACATGCGTGTTGATGTGGTTGATGAGTTGGGGTAGCATCGCGATAAGGTCTTGGTTGTCTGCGAAGTCAACGGTGCTCTCTTCAATCTGCAGAGCTTCCGCTGCCCTCCTGCCGCTAATCAGACTGGCCATGGCGAGCCGCTTGTCCCGCACGGCTAAGAGAAGCGTAATTCCTTCCTGGACGAGTCGGCTGCGGTCGGCGAGGCAGCTCCAGGGACCCAGGTAGAGACCTGGCAACAGAGACTGGGCGCGCCGGCGCATCTCGTAGGTCCATTGGAACATTGGAGGTGGGATGGTGAAGCACAAAGGGCCGACTCGGTTGAAGAAGCCGTCAGGCACAAATTCGCCCTGCTGGAAGGCATGGTTCTCGGCGTTGACGGGTTGACGGGCTTGGACATCAAATTCCTCGTATGATACCAAGGGCTGATCAGTCTTCTGTCGGCGATTTCCCAGGCTGTATTCATGATTTGGGGTGTACCGAGCACCGACACCTTGGGACGTCGCGTCCTCCGCCAAAGACGACGTCAGTGCCATTCTTGCCGGGCCTGAGCTTTGGTAAAGAGCGATTGCGCGGTTCGTTCTGAATGTTTCAGTTGATCTCTTGTCTTGTTCTCGAGTCGTGGTCACAAACAACAGGAGAAGAGGCGGATAGATGTGTGGGAAGAGTGGAGAATGGAACAGTGCTGCTGTGAAGCTCAACCCAAAGCATCGAGTCGTGAGAACAAAGAGGCGCTAGTGTGAGAGATACGCATAGAGTGAAAGGTCCGTCCATTCACTGTTCGGACTGCATTGATTCATTTGACTCCCTTCTTCCTGTCTGCTTTTCATTATATTATCACCGCCTTTGTGTCAATTAAGTGGTTTCTCGGCTTTCAGGTACAGACAGACTTGTGGTTCGGATAGATGTGGAAGATTTAGCCTATGGAGTCTCACCCAATCGTGTAGTGAAATGACTCAGCACATGGGTAAGTGAACTACACTGCAAGTATCACAAAAATCCATATCTGACATTGACAAGGCGGGGTATTATGTCTAGAAAGTGACGACACTGCACGCATCCCCGCCGAGGTAGAGTACAAGCACAGCACATCATCAAACTAAAGTAACAATGACTTCAAGCTCAAAAGGACGAGTGCGCGTGACCAATCGAGAACCTACACCTCCACCAGCCATGGTGCGCTACACAAAAAATCGAGTTGAAACAGGATCGAGGCAAAAGTTAATGCATCGTCCGGGAGTCGAACCCGGGCCACTTGTTTGGAAGACAAGTATCGTAACCGTTTGACCAACGATGCGATTGGTTGAAATTTGCCACTCGACTACGCCACTCGAGCAGCCTGAATACCAGCTCGTTGAATCTACCGCCATCCCTGAATCCTTGCGTAACCAGATAGCAAATATCGGCAGCTCTTTACATAGCATGAGTCACTGTGGCTCGAGCTGCACTTCTTTGCAGAGCCAGCTTGCTCTTTATCAGGCGGGGCTAGAAGCACATGAGTCAGAGTAAGAATCACGAGAGAGAAGCTAGCCTAATCCTACGGGGTAGATGATTCCTTGCCGCGGCCGTGGAGTTCATGATGGTCTGGGAGTTGCGAATCCTGGATGTCACAAGGCTGGATGTCAGAGATTCGATACACCGAGCTGTCAGTCACTTGAGCCCAGCGAGTCAGCGCTTTGTATGTGCTAGACCATGGAGGCGAGTATGTGAGTACATCCCACCACTATAATTGTGCCGTGACTTGAGGGTCTGGGGCTGGATGCCGCAGCGTCGGTTGCCGATGATTACAAAATGAGATGGATCGTACATCCTCGAAAGCCACTGGAGGTAATATGTCTGGAGGATATTATGACAGGCATCATAAACGAATGCGACTCTTTTGGAATCCCAACATAGACAAAATGACTACGCACCGGAGTAGAGACAACATCATGAGGATAGACTGGGGAGTGACAAAGGAAACTTAGGTTGAAAAACGCCTGGGTATATTTCAGGAAATAAAGAAAGAGTAGGAACCATTAGAACACCACCTGGTCTGTATCTTCGACCTCGATCAAACGCCATATCGTCAGAGCTGCCTGATTTTTTATCCATGCATTCTGAGATGTAGACCAACCATATGAACGAACCTCCCACTGATGTTGTAGACAGAATCGCGCGAACCCAAGGCCCGTACTTTGCATAAGGAAACGCCCATCGGATGCAAACCACATAGTGCAGACCATAAATAAAGAGAGAGATTTCAAGCATCAAGGAAGTGTCTAGGATAAAGAATGACACGGACAAGATGGAGAAAAGAGGATGGGGAAAGGGGAAGGGGGGGGTTAAAAACATGTAAATCGTAGAGTTTTTGCCTCGAAGGGCATCTATCCTTGAGAGGTCGCGGTCTGCGGTATAGCTTGCTGCAGACCAGCGACAATCCTTTCGAGCTCTTCCAGCCGGCGATCCTTTTCCTGGACCTCGAGCTGCAGTCTCTTGAGCTCGTTCCGGAGAGTGACGCCATTTCCACCATCTTCGGAGAGGTCCAAGGTCGGATCCTCATCGATAGAGTCGCGCTTGCGCTTCAAGGTGGGAGGCACGCCGAGAACTGCGGCGCCATCCAGTTCCGGAGACGGGGCAATCGGGAGATCTGAGGCAGGACCATTCTCGGTATGCATGTGGCGACGGCGAAGGTGCTCCTTCAGATTCTCCTGGCGCGTAAACCCGTTTCCTGTGCTGCGATTGCAATCGACGTAGGGACACATCAGTGGTTTCTTGGCATTGATGTTTTTCTTATGCACCTCGCGCTGGTGCCGCAGAAGACCGCCGGAGTATGTGAATCCCTGGATCTTGTCACACCCGGGTTCCAAGCACTTGTAGGGCCGGTCATGTTTGTCCATGTGCTTACTGTTGCAATGACCTGTTAGCATTCAATTCCGGGTACTTCGACAGTTTCCAAAAGAAAAGACCACGACAAAACTTACTTCCACTCGCATGGACGGCGAAAAGTGGGAGGCGATTGTTGGCACTCGGGGTGATCGCAGTAGATTTGGCCTGCAGAGTTCTTGGGCGGATCCCGCGCTCGCCTCACCGACAGTCGCGGACGCGCCCCTTCCATGAAATTGGGTGGGAGCTGTTCGTTCACGTTCATCTTGGGTGCTGCGACAAGCGGTTCCTGGGTAGCGACTAAAACTGAGGTAGGTCCGCCAGGACCTTCACTTCGTGGGCTAGGATAATCAGAACCGTCACCCATAGCGTAGTTCCAACCCCGCCGTCAATTGAGATGGGCGGAGGTGTCCCTGGCAGGAATCGAAAAAGTTGAACCGAGAGACTCCGAGACCGAGGTCTATATGACTGCCACAATAGAAAGAAAGAAGTAATAAATATCAAGGTCTAGGGGTAGTAAAAGAAAGCACAAGCAAGTTGGTATAAAATCGAGTTGGTTGACCTAGTTTGAGTCGGGTGGCACTGGCTGGAGGATGGATGTTGGTTCCTTAACTCGGAAGGGCGGATTGCCAGGATTTTTAGGACACTAAGCCAGGCATCGAGTGACTAAGCAGCTGGAGGCTTGGCAAACCGCCACCGGGACAGCGAGAAAACGGGATGGGATGGGATGGAGAACGAACAAACCAGGGCGAAACGTCGGTTCATGTATGTAGACAGTTACGATTATTGTTATTGTGATTATTTTGGCTTACTACTGAATCTGACCGGTACTCTGAATATCAACTCAACATGCCTACATGCCTTGCACACGTGGTGTGATCAGAGACGCGTTAAATCTGTCCGGCGCGGACAATGGTACACAATAGGTTGTATTGCTAGGCGCCGAATCACCCAAAAAATCTTGATGGCAAACTCTCTCTCTAGTCTCTAGGGACTTGAAAACTGTTTAGGCTGCGACTAGTGAGTCACGCAGAAAGTCAACATCAGGCAACCAAGCGAGGGGAAGGGAGGTTTATCGGCAGGATAAGCCCGAACTATTCATTCCTGGTCGACCCAGGCCGAAGCTGAGGTGTTGTACTGACAATTGGTTTTACTGTACCTACGAGCCGCCACATACCAGGCGAGAACCTTGAAAAAGTTTTGCATGCCTCATTGCTGCCTGGCAATCACTACGGCACGTGCAGGTCATGCTGTGCTTCAGCCACACTGGCCTAACTACTGTGGCGAAGTCAGATTTCTATTTTGGGAAATTCCGACATGTCGCGGCGCCTCGGCTGGCGATAGATGGAGCCAATCTTCATCCCTACCTGTCAACAGACAATAGAGAATGATAAGCCATTTTTCCAATCCATTCCGTCCCGTCTCGCTCATTCAAGTCAATCATGCCAAGATTTCCTCAAAATTATATCTCTCACCCAGGCTGTTTACTACCTTAGGTACCCAAACCTCCTGCGGCATCGGAGCATAGCATACTGCGTTTTCTCGCCCAATCCCGAGCCGCTCCATTCATTAGGCACAGAGACCGTTAAGCGCTGCTCCACAACAGACTCAAAAAAAGAAAATACACCAATCAGCCATGAAAGACAGACTCGTTGAACACCTGAGACGCTCCATGCTTTGAAAGAAGCAGGGATCGTGGCGCGGCTTATCCTGGCTGATGTGTTTGACGCGCAGGGTACTGTACTGTACATGCCCGTGACATAAATTGGTAGATTCATCGGTAGCAATACAGCTCATCCCTACGCACATCATGTAGCTGCGCTATCAAACGTCCGGGGATTCGCAAGCTAGACTGTTCACCTGCCCCAAGACAATTCCTTGTTCTTCTTCGGTTCTTGCACAGTAGAGTATATCGTCTATGCAAGTAGCGGTCCAGTTGCCGGTATCGGGTATAATCGAGATCGGATATACCATGGCCGATCAAACCAGCCATTCATGCGTCCCAGAAGGCATGGCCACAAAAGTGTCAAGTAATTGCGTCACCTGCGTGTTCGTGCTCAGTAACTCTCTTAGTTCTTGTTTCTCAGACAAGAAAAACTAGGCATCTCGGTTTCTGAGCCTATCGAACCTGCAGATACAGACTCAGGCCTTGTCCGGGATTACATTTGTATACTTGCATGGATCGCCATTGATGACGCAGTCCTGCCACGATCAATATTACCGATAATATCTTCATCATTGTCGTAGTCTTTACCTGAGTTAGTGAATAGATTAAATCATTCTCTTATCTCCGTAGCTTGGACAAGCCTTCGAAGCACTGGGGAGTTAGTTATATTTAGGATGATCGACAAGGGTTTGATGACTGCCTTCTCGAAAGCTTCTATACAAGGATTGCTGCGCTATGTGAAACATGTAAATTCTTGTACTTTAAGATTGATATCTATCAGTGCGGAGACTAGCTTGTGTCTATTTCAGAATATTGTCCCGTTAACTTGATGTACATAAGCCGTCGTGGCCTGTCCCTACATATGAAGCTATCACTCGCACGCCTAGGCAAACTATAATGAGAGCTCCTTAACAGTTCGTCACCAACGCGGTTGTTATGCTGAGCAGCTGGCAATAAGGAAGGACACTGGAAATTTGGATGCCTACCTGAGCTCTGCTACTTCTT